CTTGTAAACGACGCAACCTGCATATCAGCCTATCGAATGGGCTTCAACGAAGAGGGCAGCCAGAAAGCCTATGCCCCCTTTCTCTATCAATCACGCAGAGTGTTTCGCCAATACTCAAGGCGCTGCCATTTTGAAATGTCGAATGCAATGTCTGGACTCTGACCATCAGCTTCGACGTCTCTCGATTTAGTCCTATTACAAGGCCTATGAAGTAGACTTCAAAAGAAGAGAGGATTACACGCATTAAGATCAGGTAGGCTTTGAGGGTAGGTAATGAATGTTACGGTAGTTTCTCAGATCCAACCGAGCTCACTTCACTTTTCAGTTGACTTCTGCCATCCCGGCGGACACCCCTAGGCTCCTCAGCTAACCGGGCAGACAGCTGCCTTACCTATGAACTACTTCAAAAGACGATTCCCTTTATGATTATCCCCATCGTTACTATCATAATCGTTATCGTCGTCGCTGTTATCTTCGTACTTATTACTGCTGTTATGCTGTTATCATCATTTGTTCGCACAGCAAAGGTCTTTCAGTGATGCCTCAAAAGTGGTGTATTTTCACAGTAATGATCCGAACCAACGGTCAGCTCATAGTTGCGAAAGCATGGACGGGACATCAAGGATCTCGCTATCCAGACCGTAACTAAAACGAGGGAACTTGTCCTGGCATTCGTGACGTGCAGGAGCGAGCGACCCCAGCGGCCGCGTTGGGATATTATCCGGAGAGCTCTGTGAAGCTTTCAATTACTCGTAACTGGGAATAGTGCTAAGTCTTTCAATGATGAGCTCTGCCGAATCTGTTGATCGATAGACAAAAGCATCATACTACTAGTTGATGTGCCATGCTTGCTGAAAGCACGACCGGTTACTACGAAGGAGTATTCTTGATTACCAATGCTCAATGATCGAGGTTCGCGAATATTTAATCTGACGCGTGCGGTGTGATGAGTCCATACCGCAGAAAGCTGCCAGCAGCACTGGTCTCCCATGAAACCCACATCTCGTGTAGTGGAGCCGCCTGTACGCCTTCGTTCGTCCTACTCTTCGACGCAATCTTCACTGAAATAGTCATCCACGATGAAAATCGGAGACCGGCTGGTCAACTAACCGGGTTCTTCATCAGACTCTGGGTAAACCTCAGACGACGCACCTCAACAGTCTCCTGCCGTCGATTTCTGAGTATGGGAAACTTGCCCTTAAGGGAAATTTCGTATTAATCGCGCAGAGCACTCGCCTCCGCTAGAGTAAACCTTTGCAAAATGGAGACCAATATACTTAGTGCTTACAGCATCGAACCGAACGGCAGACACAGAGTGACATCGCTCTGGCAATTGACAGAACGTCTGCCCAATCCGCGTAGTCGCTGACAAGGATATGACCCACTATCCGGCAGCTCCCTTGCGGCCGTCGACCGAAACCCATGTGTCCTACGGGGTTAATGACCGGGGTCCACTAGGTGCTTACAGGGTTCAACACCACTTTTCCGAGGTGCCCTATGAGAAGCCCCAGGGAGGCGGAAGAACAGCCATCTCTGCATCGGACGGGTAGCCATATCTGCCGTGCGCCCGTGACTTGGCGGTAAGGTTGACATATCCCTGGACGCACGCCACGATGAATCATGCGGTGCGATTGGACAATGGATTTCGTTCCCGATTTTTGCTTGCGCAGTCTGAAGAATTGGCTGTCGGTAACTTCCCACTAGACGATGTTCGTTCTATCGACCGTAGGCTGCATGCCGTGAGGGAGGGGGTCAAGTGATGCGCGGAAATGAAGTCTTGGTCTAGACTGGCGCGCCACTCAGTCAGGCCACGACTCTTAAAAGATCAAGTGCCGCCACTGTATGGCTCTTCTTTCTCCTCCGGCTCGTCTAGGCAGAGCTCTCGGTCCTACACTCCCGGCAATCATGGACGTCACGCGAAGCTTCAAAGCCGCGGCCTTGGCTGCGCTCATCTCAAGCCAACTGGCAATCGCTGAACCAGTCTCTGCCAAGTTCGCAAAGCGGAGCACTGCAGAGCTTGCAGGCGCTTACGACTATGTCATTGTCGGCGGAGGGTTAAGTGGCCTGGTTGTGGCCAACCGCCTGACCGAAGATCCGGATGGTAAGTTGCTTGAATGAAGGAAGCCGAAAGCGCCCGACAACTGACTGCGCTAGTCTCGGTTCTGGTCGTGGAGTACGGCGAGTTCGACGGAAGTTGGGACGTCATGATTCCCTATTATGCTTCCAATACCCACCCCAACGACATGAGACAGCTCCTATCCATCCCGCAGCCCGGTCTCAACAACAGAACATCGGGAGTCCAGACAGGTACCGTTGTCGGAGGTGGCTCGACGGTCAATGGCATGGCTTTTGATCGGGGGTCGAAGGCGGATTACGACGCTTGGGAAGAGCTTGGCAACCCTGGTTGGAACTGGGAAAGCCTCTTTGAATACTTCAAGAAGGTAAGCGCACCTCGAACCTGCCATCGCACGAGACTTGCAGCTAACGAGCTCCAACTTTAGTCCACGACGTTCCACCTTCCCGCCCAAGAATATGTCGACAAGTACAACTTCTCCTACGACCCGAGCACATACGGCGACGGCCCCATCCAGGTCGGTTTCCCGTCCTGGCAGTGGCCTGACGTAGGTTTGTTGCATGCTGAATGTGGGATATGCGAGGATCGAAAGTGCTGACGGGGTGACAGGAATCCAAAGAGACGCGTGGATCAAGGACCTCGGAATCCCTGTTCTCAATGACCACGGAGCTGGCGGCAACAATGTTGGAGTTGCTCAACTGCCCCAAAATTCCGAAGGAAAGAATGTCACGCGTTCCACTGCCCGAACCGGCTACTACGATCCCATCGCAGGAACTCGTGCGAATATTAACCTACTCATCAAGCACTACGCTTCCAAGGTGGAGTTCGAAAACAAGAAGGCGATTGGCGTCAACGTTGTTTCCCGCGATACCGGAGAAACATCCCTTATCAAGGCCAACAAAGAGGTCCTGCTTGCTGCTGGTGGAGTGCAAACCCCGCGAATCCTTCAGCAGAGTGGTGTAGGACCCGCTGCGTTGCTTGAGTCCCTAAACATCGAGGTGGTTGCCGATCTTCCTGGAGTTGGTGCCAATTACCAAGATCATCCCTGGATGCTGATGTTGTACAACTGTGAGCATTGAAGCATCTTGCTGGTGGAACGAAAAGGCTGACCCTTCTCTAGATGGCAATCCCCCTGAGCTTGGTAGCGATGCAATGAATGACCCCGCTTTCTTCAATGCCTCCGAGGCCGAATACTTTGCCAACCGCACTGGACCATTCACCCACGCACGTGGCAACAATATCGTCTTTTTGTCGCTCCAAGATCTCACTCCCGAGTACGAGAACCTCACCGCCAGTATCGAAGCTCAAAATGCCGGGGACTTCCTCCCCGAGATCTACAGCAAGCATCCTGAACTCGTCGAAGGCTTCCTTGCGCAACGAAAGGCTCTTGCTAAGCTCTACCGCAACCCGGAGGCAGGTGTTCTCGAAGTGCCCTTTGGAGGCTTTGCTGGAGCAGGCATCGCCTTCCAGAAGCCTGTTTCGCGTGGCACGGTCTCGATCAACACCACAGATCCAGACCCTGCGACGACACCCGTCATCGACTTCGGCGTCCTCCAGAACCCTGCCGATCTTGAGATGCTTGTGTTGAGCATCAAGGCTATGCGGAAGTTCATGGGCAGCAAGTCAATTGCCGTGCGCCAACCTCTGGAGATTCTTCCCGGCGCGAACATTACCAGTGATGCAGCTATCGCCGAGGCAGTGAGAAACTCTTTGTACGCCAGCTTTGCTCATCCAAGCGGTACCGCAAGCTTGCAACCCCTGGAGCATGGCGGAGTGGTAGATCCCACGCTTCGCGTCTACGGTCTTGAGGGGCTAAGAGTGGTGGACGCCAGTGTCATCCCGTTGATCCCTGCTTGCCATCTGCAATCCACCGTATATGCCGTGGCTGAAAAGGCTGCGGATCTCATCAAGACTACTTGAACAGGGCTGTAAGAAACGTATGTTCGACGCCGTCATGTATGTTGGCGCCGGGCGGATGAGGCGGGCAGGGCGAAACATGATTCAGGGGATGTGTCGGTGCATGGGCAAGTCTTTGTGTAAAAGTTGAAAATAATACAATCACCTGCTTTTCTCCCTGAACTTCGTTCCAAAGAACACAGAAAGGGTTCGCTGATGCGCTGCCCAGCGAAGGGCTTGAAGGCCCACTTGAATTTAGAGCAAGCCACATGAAGTCATGGCTAATGTTATAGCTCGGCAGATCGAAAATTTCGAGATGGTTCAAGTGATGAAGCTGAATAAGAGTCATCTTCATATAGGCAAGATTTGTACAAATTTACCTTAGGCGCCCCAGATGACCCCGTCCCATTTCTGTCTATTCGTGAATGGAATTTCAGATCCTTCGGGGCACTGGCTAAAGGATCATTTATGATCAAGGTAGGGATGTGCACGTCACCAGGAGCCTGGTTTTCCGCATGTATCGCGGGATCTTCAACAGTGCAGGTGAGACAAGGCAATGAGACATTGGACCAGCCGAGTACCGGTGCCCGAGTCTGCTCTCCGCATTGGTGACAGCCTTCCGTTTCCGGACGTCTGCTCCCAGATCTAGGCTTTCCTGGCCTAGTTCCTCCATATTTCTTTCATAGTCATTGGGGTGTCTCTGAGTCGTCCGGTGCCCATTTGTGATCTTTGAACGGATGCGGACATCATTCCCGCGGCGGCTTCCCCTTCCCAGAATCTTAACACCGATGAAAATCCCACGCAGAAAAAGCGCTTTGTTCATTCCGCGGATGATCTGGGGCTCGTGCCGGTGCACCAATGCTTGTACTGTCTCGTTTGCTCCGGCGCAAGCCAACGAGGCAGTGTCTCTCCGTCGCCACTTTTGCTAGAAACTTAATCCATGCATAGATATTGGAAGTGAGCCCCGCTACCCTGTCTTGAAATATCAACGTCATTTGGTTCGTACACGACTCTCGGAGCCGAAGGAATCATGAGGAAATCCCACCTCCTCGCGGCGTTGGCTGCCAGCGCGAGAATGGTGAACGGGTTTGGCTATTCGAGCTATCCAAACTGCGCAGTAGGTTTCGAAATTCTCTGATGACGTGCCAATACGAACATCACTCACATTTCGCCAGGTTCTCTGTGTGATGGACGCATTGCCAAGGTCGCCATGCCGCGCGCTCGACGCCGCTTGCCTCTGCGCCGACACCACTTTCACGCATATGGTCGCGCCTTGCATCAAGGCGAACTGCACAATGGCAGAAAGTCTGGGTGAGAGCCCTTTAGTCTAGCAGGTGTAGAGTTGTTGCTAACGTTGGACGCAGAATCCGTGAGAGTTTCGGCAAATGCCTGTGGGGTGACAGTTACGGACAACACAGCCCTTCCGCGATATCTCACTGGCATACTGTTTGCATTGCCAACTGTGTTCATTGGCACCAGAATACTCAACAAAGTCTTAAATCCTCTTCCTTGGGGGGCAGATGATTTCATGGCGATCACTGGATACGTCAGTTGGCCCACTACTATGAGCTCCGGGACTTTACTGATGCAGACAGCGCAGGTTTGCACTATTCCTTTGGTGCCCTTGATTTATCGATGTGAGTGATTCAAAATATCTCGCTGTTGTAAAGTTGAGCTGACCGTCTTGAAGCCTTGAATATCGGTCTCGGAAATCCTATTTGGACAGTTACGCCCACCAAGATGGTGGAATTCCTTCAGGTAAGCAGCCGCCGATGAGACAATCACTGTAAGGTTTATGTTGGAACAGCGCAATGGCTAATGTCTGAAAATCTCAAGATGTTGTTTGCGACACAAATTCTTTATGTTGTAGGGCTCATGACCCTCAAAGCATCAGTGCTGTTCTTCTTTCTTCGAATTTTCCCCACACGCGGCTTCCGAAAGATCATTTGGGCCACCCATGGCCTCAACTTTCTCGTCGGATTCATTTACATAATCCTGACCTTTGCGCAGTGCCGACCCCTTTCACTGTATTGGACAGGGTGGGATAAGAATGCGAGCTACAAAAACGAGAGATGCCTCGACTTCAACAAATTCATCTTATCACACGCCATCCTCAACATCATCCTGGACGTCTGGATGCTGATTCTGCCATTGACGCAGCTTTACAAGCTGAATTTGATTTTGCGGAAAAAGATTGGAGTCATGCTGATGTTCAGTGTGGGGTTGTTGTGAGTTAACATCCATCAAACAGGCCCCTTCATCACTAACAAACTCCAGCCTTACTGCTGTCAGTGCTATCCGGATCCACACAATGGTCCGCTTCATGACCGATAGCAACGTAACATGTAAGTTCGAGCCGCAACATTCTCACCATTTGAAAATGCTGACCAAACTCCCAGCTCAAGCACTTTGGGTCTATGTCTGGACGTTCACCGAGCTCTGCGTCGGCGTATTTGTAGCGTGCATGCCAAACGCCGGTCAACTGTGGAGAACACTGTTCATGAAGCCAAAGGCCAAGGCGATCGGAGAATCCAAATCCAGACGACACTCTGCGTATGGAGCAGAGATGGTCTCGTTACCGGAACAGAGTCAGAAGCAAAGAGAAAATTCGGTCGCGTCATGCAGTGAGGGATCAGAAAACGCTGTGCCGCAGTCTAATCACTCGCCCGTCTGACACATTCCTTCGGCGTATAGCATTGTACATATTCATCACCAACTGCCAATACATGCTCATCGACTGATGATCCCAGATAGTGATACCTATAGATAATCTAATTAGGCGCTTTCCTCGTCATCGCTACGCTTCTTGTTCAAGTCACGATCCACCACATCGTCAAGCACAGCTAGCCCTTCCCTCTCGGCGCGAACTCTTGCTCTCTTCAACCGACGAGTATCCGACTCCGTCTTCCTCGTAACCCACCACGTTATGCAGGTGATGATGGCACAACAGCCGACTAACGCCATTGCAGCAGCAAAGCTGGTTTGATAACGCGGCGCGTATTTCGATCTGAAAATCTGAGGGCCGATGGCGCCACCAATCTGGCCGTAACTGTTCACAAACCCGATACTGAACGCAGATCCTGTAGCTCGAGAAGTTGTTTGTACACGCCAGGGCCACATAAGCGGGAAGAAGGCCGCAGTGAAGGCATTCCCGATGAGGGTCGCAGCATATACGGCGCCGTTGGAGGGGTACGCAACGAGAACTCCATAACAGGCAAGAATGACGGCGAAAACTCCAAGAGGGTACAGGGGCCTTGGAATGAGACCCTTGTCTGCGAAGAAGCCGGTGACGCCAATAACAAAGATTGCTAGTATGGAGATCGGCAGGTTGAGTAGCTGAGCCCTGGCAATCGTGGTGAATCCGAGGTTTGCGATAACGGTTGGCTGGTAGAAGCGGACTCCGGAAGTCCCGACGGTGAAAGTAGCCCAAATGGCCGTGAATAGCCAGAGTCGACGATCCTTAAGCGAGTCAACGATTTCACTCCAATTGAAGTTCATCTCCTCGGCCCTCGGCGCGTTCGCTGGTAGTCGGGCTTGTATGAAGGCCTTTTCCTTGTCGCTCAACCATTTCGCGGTCGGTGGGACTAGCTTGTCAGTACATATCCTTTGATACCTATCGGGGCGGTCCACAGAACATACAATCAGGAAGTAAGAAGTAGACAGCTGTTCCCAGTACGATCGTGATAAGGCCTTCCACCAGAAATAGCCTAAAACGCTGTTAGTGCTCTGGTCACTTTCGCTTCATTCCTACATATTGCAAGACTTACCACTGCCACCCTGATAGCCCCCTGCTACCGGAAACCGTGTCGAAAGCAAAGGCTAGAATACCGCTGAAGATCCCAGACAGATTTCCTAGAACGTCTCAAGTAATAGTCAGTTTCAGGTTCGGCTACATATTCCAAGGCCTGATACTCACAGAAATACAATAGACGGATAGACATTTCATCCGGTCTGTACCAATATGTCATCTGAAGAATAACTCCTGGGAACATTCCAGCCTCAAACTGTAGGATCAAAACATTAGCATTGAATCAATCGGGCAATGTTATCGGTTACCTACTGCTCCGAGGATGAACCGTGTTGCATAAATGCCGCCCTTGTTGCTCACGGGCACATGGCAAAGCAGAGCAATACCCCACGAGATCATGATCCTTGATTGCCAAGCACTTGGTCTGAACTTCTTCAACAACAGGTTCGAAGGCGCTTCAAGAACGATGTATGGGACCTTTTTGCGTCAGCAATTCCGTACCGTTCACGTCCCGGGATGTATCTTACATAGTACAAAACGTTGAGCAGGTTGTACTCATCCGAGGTCATGCCCAACTGCGTCATAATGTTCCTAGAAGTCCCCTTATTCATGATTCGCGCGTTTGAGATGTTATCGGCGTCGATGTTCTTCATCAGAAACAACAGCGAGCAAATCGTCATGATGCGGAAGTCGACGCGCCTCATGAGGGCCTTCTCCTCCGCGGCAGTGAGAAGTGACCGTGCCCGCATGCGCTCAGCGTCGAAGCCGGAGACATCGCTGACTGCCGTGGTCTCGTCTACTTGCTCTCCGCGCCTGGCGAAAGTCAACCCGTCTGCTTTGCTGGGCTCGCCATGGTCTGGCAGTGACTGAGTCGGCGTCGATATGTCCTTCAAGTCGGCCATGTTGAGTCAATACGACGACTTTGGTAGCAAGAAAGCTTCAAAGCAGAATGTAAAGGTCTGTTCATAGAAGTGGGAAAAGCATTGCCGTTGAGTTTTGATGGCATCGATGCCCACCTCATCGATTTGGCGATAACCGACGTGCCAAGAAATGCATCATCTTCAAAAGCACAATGACCAACGGAAATAAGCCGAGCTCACATACAAATCCCGATCATGTCATCGAATGCTAGAATCGCGAGCAAGGTTCTATGCGAGGGGATGATTCGCTGCAGCTTCTTCAGCGTGGGATGCAGCAGGCGTTCGGGCTGGCACTCCGCGATAAATCCTCCATTTCCCTCCTGAATGATCCTTCCGTGGGGGCCATTCAACCAGGGCAATGGCCATCCAAACCGCATTTGTGGTCATTGAGTGAGGTTGGTTGCAGTGAGCGGGCGACGTCCGACGATAATCCTTGCATTCGCAATCGAACCCCGCGATGACGAGATACGGATGCCGTACCCCCATGCACACCCATTCCCACGACGGCGGGCCGAGTACGGAGAATGTGTATTTGTCGGACATTAAATAGTGAACGGCTCAACGGTAATATTGTGGGGTTATGAAGAGGCCGAACGGCGAATCGCATGAAGCCACCTTAAGGAACAATTCCCATACTCAAAGTTCTAGTATTCTATCGTCAATCGTGACCAGAAAACCAGACATGGCGGCTGCAGTCCAACGAGCACCAGCTAGCGAGCATAAGACCTCGCTGCCTGTGTATCACCAAGTTCCGGAGACAAAACATGAACGTGAGTATGCCTGGAGATAGCTTCACATTTGAAGCCCTTCGCTCATACCTTAGCTTGCAGTGGAATGGGCAGACCTTGTAACTCTGGATCTTTCCAAGTTCGACCGACCGGGCGGCAAGGAGGCGTTAGCCAAACAGCTATTTGATGCAATTCAAAATATTGGATTCTTCTACATCGTCAACTTTGGACTCAGTCAAGAAGAGGTGGACCGTCAATTTGCCATCGGCAAGTCCGTCTTTGAGCTGCCAACGGAAGAGAAGCTTAAGTACCGAGCTGACCTCGAGAATGGGGGCTACAACGGTTACAAACCGCTGGGTCTTAGGGTATGTTGGTTATACTCAGACAAGTTGACATGTCGCTCACAAGAGTGCCTCCAGGAAGTCCGTCCAGGTGTGTTTGACAATACCGAGATCTTCAACATCCCCAAGTTCATCCCAGCCTTTGAGCGTCCTCAGCCAAACGTGATCGACGAGAACAAGGAGGAGATCGAGCACTTCGCTCGCCACATTCACAACAACATTGTGCAGAAACTTCTCACTCTCTTCGCAATCATATTGGAACTTCCAGAAGATTACTTCGCGGGCCGACACAGATACGACGAGGCCCTGTCAGACTGCCACCTGCGATACATGAAGTATCACGCGCGCGATGCTGAGACGAATGCAAAGCTTGAGAACGTCTGGGTGAAGGGCCACACGGATTTCGGAAGTCTGACCCTCCTCTTCCGACAACCAGTCGCGGCACTGCAAGTTCGCGGGAGTGATGGCAGTTGGAAGTGGTAAGCACCCGGCCAATTCATTGCCTGAAGACGTACCTAATATTTAATTCCAGGGTCAAGCCGTATGATGGAAGCATCACGGTCAACGTGGCAGATGCTCTGGAGTTTCTCACCAATGGCTTCTTGAAGAGTAGCATCCACCGAGTCGTGGTGCCGCCTCCTGACCAAGCTGGCATTGATCGCTTGGGAGTCCTCTACTTCGTTCGCCCTGAAGACAGTCTTGAGCTGAGACCAGTGCAAAGTAAAGTCCTAGAGCGACTGGGCTACGATTCAAATGTCAACTCGGAGCTGGCAGGTATCACCGCAGGGGAGTGGGTCAAGGCTAGAGTTCGGGCGGGTGTCAACAAGAACAAGCAAGCACGCAGCGAGATTTCCGAGCAGGAGATTGTGAAAGGAGTTAAAGCCAAGTACTATGACTAGGCGGAAGATCCATAGCCTCAAAGATTTGAAATTTGAGCGTAACGAAGGAGGAATTTTATTGGTCGTCATTGACGTATTTATCAAATACGTCGGCGTAAAACTTTCGTCCTACATCCCGATGACTCCTAATCTTTGTTCGCAACTGATTCTCACCCCACGTGTCATACTTGCCCTTCAGAAAGGCCGAGTCGATCTCCCTCCCTTCTTCGGACTCTAGTGATAGACCTCTGATCTCGGGCTTTTCGAAATGTGCTCTCAACGTCCCAACTGCCTCCTCTTTTGTCAACTCTCGCCTGACACCCTGGAAGAAGGGCACGCTGAACCTCTCTAAAGAGCCAGAAAGCACGCGATGCGTCGTCGCCTTGCAGACCCCATTCGTAACAACCTCAAAGGCTTGGCCGATGTTCACGACGAACGACCCTGGTAAAACAGGGACATCGATCCAGTCGCCATTCTTGTTGAGGGCCTGTAGACCCTTGATATGTGGCGGAGAAGCTTGCAGTAAGAATGTCCACCATCCTGAAGAGTCTTTGTGAGGACCAACGCCTTGGCCTCCAGCCTCGCTCTCGGGTAACCCTGGATAGTGAACGAGCTTGAGCCGATGCTGATCTGACAGAAACGGTAGGAATGTATCTGGTGGCAGCGATAGCGCCTTTGCGACCAGGTGTAAGAATCTCTCGCCGAGCCCTGTCATCTCAGCAATGTACGCCTCGATGATTGAACGCAGTTCGGGGAAACCAGAAGGCCACTGCACTCATCAGCCAAGCTCGAGCCTCATCGCAGCGACAACGTACCTGGTTAGGTCCTCTCAATCGTTCTCGCAGAGGCACACCCTCCCTCCACACATTTTCAAGCTCAGTCGCGAACTCAACCTGTTCTCTACGATCACTCTTCCCAGCAGTAGTTTCTGACCCATCCCCGCTGTACCCCAGGAAGTGTGGGGAATTCCTCAGCGCAATCTCATCCTTCGCTTCGGCGGGCAGGGCGAATAATGTTGGCAAGGCTTCGACAACACTTGATATCGTTGTTTGAGGAACGCCATGGTTGATAACATACAAGAAGCCGACGTTGATGAGCGCATCCCGGAGTTGATCGAGAAGAACCGGCTCCGTCGCGGGGTCAGAGGCGAGGGAAAGGTCTATGCGGGGTATCTCGGTGAAGGTGTATGCTTGCGACATTGCGACGGGCACAGTAATTAGATGGCATAAAGTTAGATGAATTTTTCCGGGACTAAGAGATGCATGGTCAAGATATCCCCCGGCTACCCGCTCGTCCGAGCGGCGTGTCTGTCGAAGGGTCCGTTGCCGGCGCCGGACCCCGGCAGCGCGGGGTATGGCGCGACCTCGAAGGAAGCGCACGTCATCTACGAAGCCAAAAGCAACCCGGGAATCAGCACATTCTAGAGTTCGTCTGACACCACGCAAGTTCAATAGAAGCATCTGATGAACACCGTCAAATGTTAGGGTTACCGCACAAGGGCCGGTCGCGTCCGGCTCCGTGCGGTTCTAAAGGCCTGGGCTACAGTGAAGCTTGGCTCTACAGTCGAGGTCTTTGAAGAGTTCAATTCCCCCCTCCACGCAAAAATGCTCCGCGTTAAGACGCGCGATATGAGTGCCGAGTCATGCCACCGGAGCGTAATGACAACGGTGGGAGTATGTATGAATAGCCTGGAAATCTTCAACCGAGTTGAGGACAAAAGGAACAAACCCCAAAAAGGATTGCAATGCTCAGAGGCGGATTCGAACCGCCGTCAACACGGTATCGCTGAGTGATGGAGACCACAACGTATCATCCTAACCAACTAGACGATCTGAGCGACTGGATCTCTCTGTGAGGAACCTGGCAAGGTGGCGGGATTCCGAGTTTGTGAGCCCTAGCGGGATCCACAGCGGATTCAATCCCCTGGAGCCGAGCTCGACCCGCCGTCTTGCTCAGCGTGAGCTTGCCCAAGTCGAGATTCAGTAGTTGAGCAGTAAATGCAATGTAGAGATCCTTCTCCAAAGGCGCGGTATCTCATTTCACCTGCAACAGATGTATATCCACCTTCGGTGCTGGAGAGTATTGCATCGCAGGTTTCTAGCACGGTCTCCTAGCGGCGGAACAACCGAATCGCGTGTTCGCGGTGTCCATGAACCGCAAGCACCCCGCATGTTGCTTCGTGTGAGATAGCTGGCAGCAATACTAAATTGCATAAATTCTGTTGACCTGTTGGAGCTCGTTGAAGAATCAGAGAGGGGAAGCTCCCTCGCTGTGCATCGTGTGGCGTGATATAAAGCTGATACAAGCTTTGAATCGTTCGCTGGTTGTTGAGATGTGAAAGGACCAATTCCCACGTTGACAACATGTGTTCATCTTATCCAAGACGTCCTTCCAAGCGTAGTGAGCTGGCGGCAAGCTTACCGGCGCCACGCTCATCCTCCAAGGCGGCTCCTCGGAGGTTTCGAATCGGCCAAGCCGATCCGCGAGCTTGATTCAACCACCATGTGTCATGGAAAGTGTTCCGTCAAGACCGCGTCCAATCAGAACTCACATAATCATTAATACCTCACTCCCAAGTTTACGATTTAATATCCAGGGACATGAGCTTCATGATGTCACCACCCTGGGCTGTTCTACAAAAGAACCCTCACTCGATAAGATAACACCACGAGCTAGGTTATGCCTAGCTGACGTGCCAGAACCTAATTTCCTGAACAGGCAGGTCGGGGTAGCGCTACACTACTTACCATGAAATGGCGGTTCACAATTTCACGCGCAGAGCCCGTCCCTCGCGAAACCCTGGAATACGGGGGACTTTTGTTCCCGCACCGTGTCTTCGATCGGCACTTCGCATGAGCTCTTGCGCCCGACGCTATCCGTACGCAAATTCACCTGCCCCAACTGCCCTGGGCCAACCTCGCGCAATAAGCAAAGGGACCATGGCCCCCAATGCCGACATTGCCGATGCGGGGAAGTGCCCGGTAGACAAGCGAATAAACAGCGGTTCACCGTCGAGATCTCCACGTCCACAGCGTGTGCCGTGATCCGGTCACCTACTGTTGTGACATCAACGCGAAAGATGGCGCGAGTCTTATCAACAGAGTGGAGGATGATGATGATTGTGATGACAATGCTGCCTCTTGATTGTGACCATGGAGGAGCCCGCTATATAAAGACCTAGCGCCAAGCCTGTTGGTTCTTGGCGCATCCATCGCGACCAACAACGGGATCATTGAAGCTATCTTCGCCATGCATCTCAAGTTCGTCAGCGCACTGTTGGCGTTCGGGACCCTGTCCCAGGCGGCCTTCAACCAGGGCGCCCTCAATGCCTTCAACCGCGAGCACCCGCGACGACAGGGCCACACGCGCATACCCTCCCCCGCGCAGCAGTCCGTCGAGAAGCGCGACACGTCCAAGTTCTTGACTGAGAAGTCCAAGAAGTTCGTCGTGAACGGAACCGCGATTCCGGACGTCAACTTTGACGTTGGCGAGTCCTATGCCGGCCTGCTGCCCATCTCTCAGGACCCGAATGAGGAGAGGCAGCTGTACTTTTGGTTCTTCCCGAGCACAAACCCCGATGCCGGCAAGGAAGTTCTCATCTGGTGAGTCGTCTCGCGTGGGATGCGAAAAGAAGCTTCTGACATGAATCCTACAGGTTGAACGGCGGACCGGGATGCAGCTCCCTCAGCGGTCTGATTACCGAGAACGGCCCGTTCCTGTGGCAGGATGGCACCCTTGCACCGACACCCAACTCCTACAGCTGGACCAACTTGTAAGATAGAACCACGATACATCGTGCGCGCCCCTTGAGCTAACACGCAATCTCAGGACCAACGTGATCTGGGTCGAACAGCCCGTCGGCGTCGGCTACAGCCAGGGCACGCCCAACATCACCAACGAAGTCGAGCTCGGCCTCCAGTTCATCGGCTTCTGGCGCAACTTCATCGACACCTTCAGCCTCGAGGGCGCCACGACCTACATCACCGGCGAGTCCTACGCCGGCTACTACGTGCCCTACATCGCCGACGCCTTCATCACCGCCGAGGACGACAAGTACTACAAGCTCGGCGGCGTCGCCATCAACGACCCCATCATCGGCGACGGCACCCTGCAGCAGCAGGCCGTCATCTACCCCTTCATCGACTCCTGGCAGAACATCTTCAACCTCAACCAGACGTACATGAACGCCCTGCGCTGGACCCACGAGTACTGCAACTACTCGAGCTACCTCGACGAATACGCCACCTTCCCGCCCAAGGGCCCCTGGCCCGTCCTGCCGGATCCGTACAGCGACCCCTCGGGCAACTACACATGTGACATGTTCGACTGGGCCTACGAGGCTGCCCTCGACGCGAACCCGTGCTTCAACATCTACCACATCACCGACACGTGCCCCTTCACGTACTCCCAGCTGGGCATCGTGAACCAGGTACGTCATCTCCGCAACCGCCGGCTTGTCCAACAACGATACTGACCGTCTTTCACAGGGCGACTACAGCCCCAAGGGCGCGCAGGTCTACTTCAACCGCACCGACGTCCAAGACGCAATCAACGCGCCCCACATCGCCTGGTACCAGTGCACCCCCAAGAACGTCTTCGGCGGCGGCGACCCCAACTCGAACTCAAGCGACACCTCCCCGGCCGCCGCGCAGAACGAGGTCCTCCAGCGCGTCATCGAGCACACCAACAACACCATCATCGGCGTCGGCCGCCTCGACTACATCCTCCCGCCCAACGGCACGCTCTTCGCGCTCCAGAACACCACCTGGAACGGCCTCCAGGGCTTCCAGAAGTACCCGCAGGACCAGGAGTTCTATGTGCCCTTCCACCCCGAGTACAACGACGGCCGTCTGAGCGAGGCCGGTGTCGTGGGCGCGTTCGGCTATGAGAGGGGCCTGACGTACTACGAGGTCCAGCTGGCAGGTCACGAATTGCCTGGGTACACGGCTGGGTCTGGGTACCGTGTTGTTGAGCTGTTGCTGGGCAGAATCAAGTCTTTGGGCACTGTTGAGGACTTCACCACCCAGAAGGGCGATTACCAAGGGAACGCGACGATTCCCAGCCTCTGAGCTGTTCAAAAGTAATGGCCTGTGATATACAATTCTATGTAGATATTAGTACCGTATGTACGAAAGAGAAATACCTTTCAGAGCGTGCTTGCAGAGCATTTGTGCGCGACCAGTCACCGACGAACAGAAACAAGTCATGTACAAGGTTTAGTATTATCAATACTAGTTTTAGGTATTAGTAGACTGCAGTCATAATACTGCAAGAAAAAGCCATTGCCCTTTCAAGCTTTCGACACCTTGCACTGAGCCGTTGCAGCAACAGAAGGATCCGACTCCGAGGTGGCCTTCAGCGTCACCACAGCTGCGTCGGCAGCATCTGCACTTGCACCAACAGACACAAACGCCGTCTTAACTTCACCAAACTTGGCCGTGACCAAAACGTTAGGAACCTCGACCCGCCAGCCAGCTCCCTCGACCTCGGCGCTCAACCTGTAGACATCCGATGCGAGGAAGGCCGAGACATCCTCGGGGTGTTGTGCGTCATTCGGGTCTACCGCCACGTATGAACCGCTGTTGCTAAGCTGGAATGAACACGAGACGCCTTGGGCCGTGGCCGTGTTCTGTTCGAGGGCCGTCACCTGGCCCTCTTCCAGGGATATGTCGTGAACGCTGGCACCCCCCTCGCCGCCGATTGAACGGACCGCAACAGTGTAAGAAAGGACGCCGTCGTCGTTCCGGTGGCGGTCAATGATGTAAAAGTGGAGATCGTTGACCTCGTCGATGAACTCGAACTCGCTGCCGGAGTTGGTGCCCGCGTGGAACAGCGCATCCGCGAGCTGCCGGTAGTCGCCCATGGTGATCATCGCGATGGAGCCGTTGGGCCGGTGGAAGTCGACGAGCTCAATGTCTTCGGGGTGCGCGTCGATGACCCACTGGAAGGGCTGGTTATCGACGTTCTTGGACTTGCTGATCAGGACGCCGGAGTCGGTGGTGAAGCTGTCCGATCCCATGCGGTCGACAACCTCGATGTCGTAGTTATCCCAGCTTCCGCCATCGCACAGGGGCTCAGTCTGGATATTGCAAGCGGGAGAGCGGTCAGAATCCATGATGATACGGATTCCCATGAGGCCGTCACCAGGATCCACGGATCGTGCTGTCAAATCTGCGACAGCGATTCCCGAGGTAGCAAGTGCCTCGCGGGACAGCCAAAGAATATCGGATCGCTCGATGAGTCCTAGTTGAAACTTGTCTCGGAGGGTGTGGAGCGAACCCATCGAAGAGCCTTGCAGGGCGGGGATCTGCCATCTAGTGTGAGGTCCGCCAGGGCCATTGAAGGAGCCTCTAGACATCATGGACCAAATTCCAGTGTAGGCTCTCCGCAACGGGGTGCCGTAGGGGTTGTTGTAGTTATCGCCAATATCGAGCAGGTGACTGAGCTCATGAGCATAGACAGCCATGCCGGAGCTCTCGCCCTGAGTAGACGAGCCACCACCGGCATTGGGCCACAGTGTGGAAGCCGCGGCCCAGGATGTCCAAGGGACGTAGCGAGTACGCGCCCAGTTTGGAAGAGATGTGTTACCAGTCTTGGGAGGACCGAATTCATCAGGAACATCCTCGGGCCCGTCGAACTTCATCTCGCCGAACTCCTGCCATGTTGAAGACTCATCTTGGCCCGCAGAGAGAATGAAAACAAGCTCAAAAGCATCGGCGGTCTCATTTCCAACGTCGTTGCGCCAGGCTGACAGCGCATCCGTCCGGATGTTGAGGTTGCACATCTCTCCAGTCGGACAGGCGCCGGGGTTCATGTCATCAGAGACGCCATACTGATAGCCGTTCGCAGGCAGTCGATATGCGCCAAAGGCAGTGAGGTCGACACCGAAGCGCCCAGCTGAGTCCTCCATCCAGTATTCATGGAGCGTGTGTCCCTGGTTGAGGTCATTCGGCGTGTTGAGAAGGTCACGGTAGAAAGTCGGCACCTTCTCCCGGGCAACGTCGGCGGCAGCAGCTTGCGGGTTGTTGAAGATGGTCGAATGCGCCGGCTGACTGATCGTGAAGTTGCGATCGGGATAGTCCACGACGACAAGCGCGATGTTGAAGTTGCGGTTCGAGCCCTTGCGGGCCGGGTTTGACCAATCTGTGCCGGGCGGCTTCACCCAGTCGTCCCACGTCATGTTGTCGGGGTTCACCCAGTTCTGAGGGTCAATTGGCACGAACGGCGTGTATGGGCCGGATGAAGCCGAGGCCACAGGGCCGGCGAAGAAGGCCCCGACCGCGGCTGCGAGGACGGCCGAGAGGCCGTTGCGGCCGTCGCTGAGCTTCATCTCGTCGGCGATGAGGCGGAAATTGACGGGCGATGCGCGAGCGATCCACCACCAAACACTGGCGCAGGTCAACAGAGAGAGGATGACGACGCGAATGCGACGGAAACTGGACGACGAATAAGTATGTTTTCTGCGGATTGGCGCCAAGACAATGCTGCGGACCTTGTTCCTCTGACCTCATGATGGTTCGTTCCCCGCTCCAACGTTATCTCCTTCTCCTTCCATGACCCCGGTTCCTGCATCTTGGTCGCACATGGCTGTTCACCAGGCGGAGAGGTGCGCGTTGAGTGCCAAGAGATGCTATCCTGCTCGCCGTCCTTGTGCGATGGCACCTGCTGCTTCAGGAAAGCATCCATGTCCACTTGGACGCGTCGATCGGCGTGCCCATGGGCTGCTTGCCAAGAGTGATCGGATGGGCCGGTTGCGACACCGAAAAGAACTCAACAGGAGATTGTGAGAAGAAGAACGTTGCTTTTATGTTTCTAACTCTCGGTTGAGGAAGTCAGTGATATGAAGGGAGCAGCCAGGGATGCATCGGAAGGGAGGCCCGGAGTGGTGATAAGCCAATCGTTTCAGACTGCAGAATGGGTGGCTGGGGAAATGGGCCTACCAAAGTGGGGTACTGCGAGAGTGGGTCCCATCGGGTCCGAGTCCGACCCCGGTGCCGGTTCGGTCTCGCTTCGCCGCCTAGGTGTATTGTCTTCCGCCGGCCTGCTCCCTTCTCCCGGCCTGGAAAACACCTATCGCGACAATCTTTATTATTTTAATGAGTTTAACAACATTTGTATTTTGAATATATCAATTTGTCACCCCGGAATCAGGTGGAACCGTATTTCCTTATCCCGTTCGTGTTTGTATGGAATTATTCGAAGACAGTAATCAGTATATGCCAGCTTGTTAATGTAATTGATTCTGCCGGGGTATCAAGAAATCTCTTCCACTAGACTTTTGTGAAAACGATACTTGAAACCAGCAACAACGGGCAACTCATAACAATCGCAGAGAAGCATTGACGTACCAGATCGTGCGCTTTCACCCCTCCGGAAAAAATGCATGACTCCGTATGCACCTATGTCCGGGCTATGAGAGCAAAGCAATCCAAATATCAAATGAACTGTATAATCCAGAGGTGACTCAGTCTGAAAACAGCGCAATCAACTACTTGTCTGGTGAAGGCAGAGAATACAGAGAACCCGTTGACTGACCTCGAGCACATCTGGCACCAAAACACAATAATCGTATGAGGCATCACGACGGAGTAATAGCACATATGTATTAAATAGACATCCCATAGAAGCAGCAAATCAAGATCGAAAAAGGAAATCGAGGATGCCTGTGGAGTGGCTAGCAGACTTACACAAGCCACAATTTTATTCCATCCTCAGCATCGAGCTCCCGACCGACACTGGCACCACAAGCCAAACGAAAATGAATCCAGTCGTGCGAGCATATTTGCCGGAAAATGACAGTCCCATATCTCATCAACCGACTAACTCCGACTCTCTTCACTCAGATTCCCACTCCTGAAGATTGAATGTCGCCGCCATCGCCAGCGACGACGGCATCGCTCACTTCATCGTCATTCTCTAGTCCGTGTCCAGCTTCGTTTTCGGTTTCCGCGTCATCAGAACTTTTAAGATTTTCGGCGTCTTCAAGATACTCGGCGTCTTCAAGACATTCAGCGTCTACAGCTTCTTCAGCATCTTCAGCAACACCAACCTCACCAATACCGCATCCCAGCTCGTCAAACTTTACCCCAGATGCCGCCAGAACAAGAAACTCACACGAAATCTCGTGATGAGATGGTTGGATGTCCGAAAAAGCCTCAATCACCGCATTCCCCCGGATACCATCAACGGCAACCACCCAATCTTCTCTTCCGGATATAGAAATCAGAGTACCTCGACAAATATGTCCCTGGACGGAGATCCTGTCAGATTTCAGCTTCGACCTTTGATCTGGTCGCCACGTACTAGCCAACTGAGCTTTTCGATATTTGTCATCGTTATCCGGCTCTAGAGCCATGTTCTCAAACTTCTCGTTCAGAAGCATTGTCTCTCCCGGTAACCAATTCCGATATGGGTTCTCAAATTGAGAGCCGATGTTGCCTCCGTTTTGATCAGTCACCTTGTAGAACCGATGACGTTTGCAAAACATCGGTGCGACTTGGATCGGTACGTCCAAATAAGTCCAGGACCAGCTTGGAAAGGAGGTTTCCTCCTTCTGAGGTGTCTTCTGAATCATAGTTGCTGTTTCATTTTGCTTCTCGCCTGTCTCCTCAGTCGAAAATGTCACTACTTTGGGACCACCAGCCACTCGCCATGCAAGCTGCTCTTCCAGGGAGTTCGACCACAATCCGTGGGCGTACTCCTGACGCAGAATGTCCCTTGAGAGCTTGGCGATTCCCCACAAAGCGTTGGACGTGTCGGAGTGCTTGGTAAGTTTACAGGAGGTGTAGGTCCTAACCACGTTCTTCCATAGCTTCTCGAGAGAGCCTTCGGAGACTTTTACAGGCGAGCGTACGGAAATGTCGGCCTCTTGCAGGCGTTGACGCCAGTAGCGGTCTGTGGCAGCCTTTTCGTCGAGGGAAAGCGGGAACCCCGCAGGAAGAGCTTCGCACGCGGAGATGGTTGCACAGTCCCAGAACAGTTGGTCCCGACCGAATTGGAGAAGACGGGGAGAAAGCATTCGTTCTATTTGCATCAGAATCCATGAACAGCGAGTAGAAATAACTGGGAAGATAATACCTTGGAAGACCCAGCCACGGGTATAGAGAGGGCTCCCAAGAGGGACTCCGTCCCAGAGATCGGACAAAATGATTCTCCATCTGCGGCCACTGAATCTCAGCGAGCTTTCAGATTCAAATTTGGCGGGTAGCACAGAAGTAAATTCACTTCATGGGAGGAGTATGATGGGCCCAGACGACAGGCTGATGACGACTTTTCATTCGTGGTAGGTCATGCGCATTCTCTGCTAAGCTTTCTCCACTGACTATTGCGCCTCTCAGAAACGGTACGATCTGAAGAACCCGAGTTTTCATACTGCTGCATTTGATCGATGGCTCCTCAGTCGGTATCTGGGTGATAGTGAGGAGGATACCAGAGCGCTGTGGAAGCCAGAAGACGTAGTAATCGTAAGTACAGGCCAAGATTTGCAGGACACAACGGCACCGTCTAACACCGCGCGGTCTTCAGCTCACCGACGGGACTTGCTCCTCAGCCTGTGCTTTGTTTCTTGAGCTGGCAAAGAACCAAGCCGGCGTCCGCACTTTCGTCGTAGGAGGTGCTCCGAAGGCTGGTCCCATGCAAGCAGCTGGTGGAAGCCGCGGCGCACGCGTTTATACCGACAGCTTACTGGATGATGATATGAGCTGGATCGGCGAAAAGGATGAAGCTGTCCAGCCTCTGTTTCCTCCTAATCGGAACGACACAGGCATCTTCATTGATCACGTTTCATTCAATCTTCGTGATCAGCTGCGCAAAGACAACACCTCTATGCCACTTCAGTTTCGCTACGATCCAGCCGATTGGAGGCTGTATTTTACTCTCGACAATGTTTACAATATGACCGCTCTCTGGCATGACATTTTCCGCGCTGCATTTGAGGACTCGGGTATCTGTGTGGAGGGCTCGACGGAGTACGCTTCGCAAGGTGGCAGGGACAAGCCCCCACCAGACTCACCCGCAGTTGCGGCCCCCGCGCCCAGGCCTGGGGTAACCGTCACCGTCGATCACGATCCGTCCACTGACAACGGCCTCCCAGCTGGCGAGGTTCTGGCCAAGTACAGCCCTAGAAGCCCAGACGCATGGGGGCCATGCCCAGCGGGCACAAGCACATGCTCATCAGACGGCCGCCGATGTCGAACCATCAGATATAATTGTGATGAAGGAGTGTTCGACGAGACAGCTTGCGCCCCGTCCTGTCAAGTCCAGCCTAGCAAGCCTTGTATCGCCTTCAAGGCCGATAGCATCGAGAATTCATCGCAGTCACCATCAAAGCTGAAAAGAGCTGCGCTCGCTCAAAAGAATCACATGACTCCTCGTCCGTCAGATCATGTAAAGGGCTCTAAAGCGCCTGCCAAGAACCGCATCCCAAGGACTGGATACAAGAGGCCCAAGCATAACGAACCGAACTTGTGCTCTGGTAGGAACCAATTTGCAGGCGTCGGTCGAAAAAAGTTGGAGCGTGGCCTCCACGAACGGGGTCTTCTTGATCACTTGACCTTTGACGTGACTGAATGTGTAGACAACGGGTCGACTTGTATGTATGATTCTTTTGGGGCCCTTTCGCATCTTAAAGTGCCGGGGGTAGACACCGGTGGTCACATAATTCGCTCATACATAATGCACTCATAATCAATCTTGATCTCGCTCAATTCATAATTCGTGATCATTGGTCGACAGTGTTCTGACCAAATAAGTTCATAATGAAATACGTCGCTTAGTGCAAGCTGTCTATTGCCCAGACCCGAGTTCCCAGCATGTAAATTCATGCAATGCGCCAGAGGTGGTGCCAGGAGGGCTACCCGAGAAATCCCTCTGATGAGTGAATGGTTCAATCGCCGCAATCCTCGGCAAATCGGCATACAAGCGCGTTGTTAGCGCTGTTCGCTCGTTGGCGAAAAGTTCCAAAACGCTGACGTCGAATAGGAATCGCAGATTGAGCAGCTCCTGCTTCCGCCTTTTCCCGTCAGACTCGTCGACGTACGTGAAAAGTGTATGAGGCGCCGTATCTTCCACGACGACGACCCCTGTCTCCTTGGTTGATTTGTCTCGTCTTATTGTAAGTCTTTCGCATGAAGGATCGAACTCTATCGTTGCCTCTTGTGCGTGATCTGGTTACTGTAGTCAGCAATTGCTTCTTTCTGAGAGGGCCAGAGTAATGCTTACTGCCTCCAAAAGTGATCTTCAGTCCAGCCGACTGAACTTGAGGAGATATCTCGAACGACACAACAACTTCAAGGGTCGAGCATCCCTGGGGAAAGATGAATCCATCTCCTGACCTGACCGGTGATGTAGATCTTCTCAGACCCCTCAGTCTATCATCCGGGACGGCGCAGAGTGTCGTTACTTCGAAGGTGGGCTCGTCGCTTCCCTCCTGAACACCGTCTTGGCGGAGATCAATGGATGATATCTCTTCAAGGGACGAGACAAGAGACTTTGTCACTCTCCTGAGCCTCTGGATCTTCAGAACTCGTGGAACTGATAGGAATCCCGCCCAGCCTTGCCGCCTCTTCAACTCGATCGGTAGATCCTCCTCAACGACCCATCCCACAATTATCCGTTGATTTGTCTTTGGATCCCAGAAAGAGTTGCCGGCGTAGTAGGCTCCATGGTCAAGAGGTCCACCATACAAGTGCTTCATCCTAGGTTGCCCCTCTTGCGCTTCGATGGTGCCGCACATCCAGAGTTGACCGTGGTCCTTGTCGAAATCTGAGCGACCTCTGCTCTTCTCCGTAGCCAGCAAACCCTCCACTCCCATGATCAGGAAGTCATGCGTCCTGTCGTCGTCCGGATCCTGGAGGCTGAGAAAGTTTGTCACTTCCCAGTTGGCGCCGTGGTCGGCTGACCATCTCGGTGATTGAGAGAAGTTGCAAGGAAGTGATACTAGAGGCGAAAGAAAAGACCACTTCGTAATATCCTCGCTGTCAAGTCGGTAGATAAATGGAGTCGGTCCTTGGCCAAGAAGTCCACCGGAGACGATACCATATAGTGTCTCCTCTGAGTCTCCTAGAGCTTTAGCCATGGAAGGCCATGTGGAAACGAAGGGGTCTCTCCATCCCGTCACCTTGAGATCTGTCGGTGGACCAGGTAAGATCGGAGTTGCGTGGCGGTCCCAAGTCCTCCCACTATTCGTTGATGTTGCCAGACTTAATCCTTCTGATCCATAGTTGTAAGGTAGCGTGTGGTGAATAGGGAGTATCCTGGCAGAGGTGTAGAATGTCGTCATTTCCCCAGGACGAAGCTCAACAGGCGAGAGACATCCCGTGAAAACACCTCCTTGGTCATCCGTTTCGGTCGGGACTATCGAGGGTTCGACAGAGACGTCCCATGAGAGTAGGTCGCGAGAGTTTGCGGCCCCCCATTTGATGTTGCCCCATTCAGGAGTATCTGGGTTCCACTGAAAGCCGATATGGTAACAGTCGTTAGCTCGATCGTAGCCAGGTGCACACGGGTCGTTGAGCCATCCTTTCGGTGCAATCAGGTGGAATTTCGGCCTCCATTTGTTGAATACATCTTCTTTGTTGAGAAAGACGTCACCATCGTCGGGTTCCGAAACAGAGGTGGATCTCGAGTGTACACATGAACCCCCTTCTGATGCCGAGTTCCCTGAGGATTCGAGATGGGCAAAAGGAGGACTGCTGGGCTGCTCTGGTGACATGGCCAAAAATCCAATTATTGTTCCTAAAATATCAGAGTAGAAACATCAGCTCTGTAGGGCATTTTTGATGCGAACATCCGCTTGATATTTCCGGCAGGTTGACATGTTGCTTTGAGCGGCCCCATCGGCGCGGGAGCGGCTCGCCGCAATCGTCGCTAAATTAAACTTGCCATTTTCGGACAGTCGCCGATCACGTTCCACCTAGACAGCTGAGCCACTTCGCAACGATAATTCATAGAATAATTCAACCTGTGGCAACAAACAACGTCTGCCCAGAATCAAGGCGCAAGTGACCACTCCGGGATGGTGTGCACTGTGCATCCGCGGAACGTTACTGGTTGTTGCCGTTGAATTCCCATGTTGTGTAACCTGGGGCACGCTGCAGAATTATCGGGCCTACTGGACCAGGGGTTGGTTGGCTGCTAACGTTTCCGTCGGCTAACAACAATCACACTGGACTTGCCAATGGTTCGGACTCTGAGCGGGTTTGCATGCCCGGGGAAGGCCCCGCAAGCTTGGTTCTTTGTGCTGTACAACTTTATGTTGTTCGCCCGACTCTGGCTTTCTCTGCTCGACGATGACGCTACACCGCGAGGTTTTCTGTTCATGGTGCGTGATTGATGTTCGGCCTCGCCATTCAATACAAAGAAGGGGCCTCCCTGATTGCATAATCGAAGATAGTTAAGCGTTTCAGCACGGAGCGGGATGCCCGCACTGGCACCCCATGTTCTTAGTGCGGAGGCGGCGAAACTTTCCTCATCCCGTACTACTCTCCGACCTCATGCAGCCCGGCCGACGCGGTATGTCTGCCCAACGTCCCGACCAGTCAGCACCATAAGACGGCGCCCCGGGTGACGTCCGTCGCGTGTCTTGTTGCTCGCCATGGGCGATCAATATCAGATCGTCTTGGACCAGACCCTCTCGCGCGTCCTCCAGCCACGCGCGTGCGACCACTGCTTCGTGCGCAAAGTCAAGGTGAGAGATTCTAGGCCGCCCGTCAATAGCCACCTGGCCCGGCTATGTTTATCCCGCCGGCCTGGCACTAATACTGATATGCCGCTCCGGTACAGTGCGAAAGGACCATCCCGTGCAAGACATGCATCGACACGGGGCTCACCTGCTCGTACCAGCGCAGGCCGCAGTACAAGTTCAAGGCTTCAGCTGACGGCAGTACGAGTGGAAAAGGCGGCACGAAAGATTCTTCGCAACGCGCAAAGAAGAAGGCGGCTCGAAGATTGCAAGAATCTCAAGACAGTCAAACACCAATTGAATTGACTTTCGACAGTAAAAACCCATCTGTTGATTCAGGGCGCGAACATCGATTCGTGCCGTCGATTCATCAATGCTTTAATGATGGCGGTCTTACAGCAGCTAGTGGGGACTGGTTTGGTCCATCGGGTATCGTGGACTTGAACAACGATACTGAGACACGGCAACGCCCATCAACAAGCCTAGTACCCATGGAGAGAGTCCCTGAGTTCACACCAGAAGCATTTCCAGACTTCTCACTAGCTGGCATGCACAACCTACCAGAATCAATACGGTCTCACACATCGGATCCACTTTCCATGGTGCGGATGCACCCATCATCAAAACTAGCGAACGCTCAACTCAGATGGCGGCCACCTTCACCGAAGCATTCATCGCCAGCTCTGAGTGCCGCCTACTTGTCTCCGCTAGGGCCTGCCAGGATATCCCAACTTATCAATATCTTCCTGGCTCGACTCCATCTTTCCATGCCCTTCTTCAAGAGATCATTCTTACTAGTAAATCTCAGGAGTCGTCGGCATGAATACGACCGTCAGTTCAACGCCTTGGTGCACAGCATCTGCGCCTACACACTATTCCAGGCAATCCACGCCCAAGACAAACCTCTGCTACCAGATCGCCTCAAATTAGCCGAATCGGTACTGTCATATGTGGCAGAACAGCATGGAGGGGCGGACTTTGGGCAAGACCCGTCGGTGGAAGCCGTTATGACCAGTTTCTTCCTCTTCGGGTGTCAATTTTGCCGCGGCAATCATAATGCCGCAACGGTGCGGTTTCGTGAGGCTCTCACTCTGGCAGAGATTATGAGACTGCATGATCCATCAAGCTATGGCAACATCAGCCCCGATGAGATGGATCGGAGAGTGAGAACCGTAACGGCACTGGCTTTTGTGGAAAGGTGAGTTTGCATCTCGTGCTGCGACGGAACGGAATCAGGACACTGACCGCCATTTCCAGGATATATGCGCTGCAACATGGCTCTACGTTACAAATGCCTCGCCTGATGGGTCTGGATATCATGGCTTTCCACAGGCTCATCAAGCGTGTCTCGTCAGCCGAAGAAGCTGTGGAAGATTTAGCTGTTGAGGGCTTAGGTCGCATGATCGACCAGATTGACTTCGTCGACGAGACGGTCGTGCGATGCTGGAAGTCCGATTGCAACCTGGACCCAAATACCAATCACATATCCGCAGAGAAGCTGGTGCAGCTCCTAAGACGATATAGTAAGCCATTAGAAGCGAGTCCGTCCATGGAAAAAGGAGGTGCTCAGCACGCGGATATTCTGCTCACCCGACACTGGATCCGCAATATGCTCTGGAACCTCGCCTTCCGCCACGGCTTCACCAGCCTCTCTGACCCCAACGTGGAGCTAAGGCCTGACTACGCTATCGACATCGCCGCCGAAACCATCAATGCCTGCGACTTTTTCGATATACGTTGTTTAGAAACGCACGGAGTCGGGCTGGCAGAAAAGCTGTATGACATCGCGAGCAACTGCGTACGAATTGCGCAGACATTCCCGGCGAACGGCGGCGCGTTTGCCGGTGACTTTGGAATCCCCACCTCGGACCATGATTCCTGCGCAACGTCTATGAGTGGAACTCTAGAATCAAGCTCGTCGGCAAGCGACCCATCCGGATGGGTGGGCCAAATGCCTACCATCGAGATGGACTGGGCAGCCTCGAGAACAGCCCAAGTGATGGAAATCCTCAACAGGTTTCTCGCATTATTCGCACTGTTCCGCAAAGGAAAGCATCCGTTCCTCAAGCCATTCGTGCAGCTCATGGCAGGCCTGGACTTTCCCCAGATGGCGACGGGCGACCCGCCATGGGATGACGGCGTGCATATGCCGCTTGTTATGTAGATAGCACTTTCACCAATGATACGTCAGGGCGCAGACGGGACGGGGATTATGATTTGGCTTTTAAGGGTAAATTATTCGGCAGTGGGTAAAATGTTCGGTAAAAAAAAATGGAGGGCTGTACTTTGTTTTGTCCAAGTACCAGCGAGTGCTTACAATTCCCATCCTTGGGTGATGGCAAAGGCTGAAACCGCCAACTAGCCCCCGCACACTGCCCGCGCGCTTGTCATTCACCCGAATATTTTGAGCGAACACTTTGCCCGAAAGGCTATCCCCGGGCCGTCGATTTGAAACCTTTCCTAATCGGGACAGTTCCCGACAAAAACTGCCGCTGTCTTGAACGTGGCATGGCAGGGTGCTCCCGGGCGATACTTGGCATGCTATTTGTTGGTCTGTCCCTACGATGGCATCTTGCAGATCCGCGGCGGAAATGTTGCCTGGGCTTTTGTGCGGGCGATAAGCCGGGCTGATGGTGTAATCGTGTTTTCGACGCCTTTCCTAGTCATGGCGGCGTCGCTTGAGCATATTTCCGTCGTCGTTTTGACTCAGACACAGAAGGCTTCGGGTCATCCCCCGAACGCTATGAGGACCCCGCGGTCTGAGAACTACTCGCATCTGACGTCAACAAGACAAAACCGAAGCACAGTCAGCAGGGCTTTCCAATCTCTGAATTTCTTCATCGACATGCCCGCTTTCCCAACGACACAACTTGGGGGATTTTGTTATTGTCATAGGGGAACTTTGAGGAGGCAGCTGGCTCCCGTTGCTGTATACATGCTCCGAAGACCTAAGTACCTTCGAGAAATAATAGAAACCGAAACCAATGAAAACACCATCTTCGAGCCTCAAATGGGTTGCTCCGCGTGCTGGTCCCCGAGAGAATGGGCCACCGCGCTGCAAATCGCCGGCCAGTCTCGCAAGTCGGACCGCGACCTGGCGGTGATTGTGGGGCCACAAACGCCGATTTCGGACGGACTCCGCCCGCCGGAGAAAAACCTCAATCCGCACACGTGACCCATCTTGTCTCACTCAACAACCTGCACCTTTTGAACTTCACTCACAACCGTGTATTTTCCAAACGGCCAATCTCAAAAAGCAAGCCTGCAAAAGCATCAAAATAGCCCGGCGTTATCTTTTCAGCATTCACAATGTCGACAACACCATCGCAACCCCCAGCCACCTCCGCCGTCCCGGCGCAATCTGACCCCGCGGCCTTCGCCCACATCGAGAACTACATCGAGACCCGCTGCAACGCTTCCCCGATCTACAACTTCCTCTTCAACCCGGGCCTGAAGCTCACCCACGTTTCCAAGGGTCTCGTCGTCGCGCGCCTGCCCGTCACCGCCAACCACCTCAACTCCTCCGGCAGCATCCACGGCAGCGTCTCTGCTACCATCGTCGATTGGGCTGGCGGCCTAGCCATTGCAGCGTGGGACCTGCGCGAGGCAACCGGCGTGAGCGTCGACATCAACATCAGCTACCTGTCTGGTGCGAAGCTGGGGGATGAGATTGAGATTGAGGGCAAGGTTGAGAAGGTCGGCGGCAGCTTGGCATTTACCCATGTCAACATTTACAAGGTTGCTGCTGATGGATCGAGGGGTGCGACTGTGGCGAATGGAAGGCACACCAAGTTCGTGAGGAGCAGGTGATTCATGATGCCGGTTGACGTGGAGGAGGATGAACGGCTGGCGGGGGTATGGACCGGAGTTCATGACCATTAAGTTACCTACCTAGAGGTTCTGCTAAGAGTCACAAAGACCTACAAACACTATTACAATAAGAAGGTTCCACAATGAAACATCGAGCTTCGGTGGTGGGTTTGGAAGCCATAAATCTGGTGCAAATTCCATTGGAAAGGACAGGCCAAGTGCGCTCCAGAATAGTGTGTTGCCATATGAAGTATTCGTCCTGTAGTCTGCCACGTAGTAAGTATTTACGGTCCCAGATGTGAAAACACTAAGCAATCTACCCCCTCTGAAGCCCGTCGGCCACGAAAGTTTGCCTCACAAACTCGCTTAACCGGAACCCGACTTAAAGGTCCAGCGGCCAGGAGATGAGCCTCATGGCTTCGTCGTTTCAGGCTTGCAGGTAGTTCAGTCCTTGGAGCTTGGAAGCGATGAATTCGTATCTCTTCAGGCTGCCAATCTATTTGGAAAAAGCAATTGATTTTCTACTCGTTCTTGAGAATAAAACATGTCATTGTTGAATCCTTGTCCTCCGTCCAACTGTACGCTTGACTATGTACTTCGGAATCATACCGTCTCAATAGCTCAGCTTGCCATTCGCCTTGGAACACCCAACCTCTGAATGCGCTGGTACGTTGGCGCCTGGTTTCAATGCATCAGCTTCGCGATCTTCGTGCATTACCTATTTACTTTCTAGCACCCAGTAGACCGAAATATACTCAATGTGTTCACTTCCTTAAACAGAAGATATGCAAGTCTCCTGCTGGCTAAACATCCCATCGAGTGCTGAATGACGCCAGTACAAGAGTATACGGGGTACGGCGAATTATAGGCTGTTTCAGTTAATCGACACTTTTTTCGGCGAATCGCAAAATTTAACAAACCTGGAATTAGAGAAATTATGATTCCTCAATGTACGGTGTCATTCAGCGCTCGATGGGATGGAGTCCATAGATCTGCATAGCCTTTTGTTCTAACACCCTTCAATGATGGTAACTAGTGGTTTGGCTCCGAGTTCGGGATTCAATTGTGTACTAAAGGGTGTATAATGACGTTGAGGAAGTTATGTGCGTTGTATTTGCCTTGCATCTGAAAGTCCCAACTCCGGGCTGCAGCATTGATGATTTGTTCAAATTTTTCAGCAACACATTCCGCCGACAAAGGTGTTCTCCGGCCTTGCTTGACCGATGAACCTAACGGCCCAGGTAAGAGGATTGACCCGCTTACTTTGAGCGTCATAGTCTCATCTGAAGCATATGCGTACTGACCATGACTGGATCCTGACTCAACCTGTGTAAGTCTTCAGGCGAAAGAGCGCCAGTAATCTGTCACCCCATAGAGTTTTGACATGGACCTTTCTGCATAATCAACAACAAAGGGATAGCTATCAAGTCACGGCGATAGTCCAGCGGAGATCGCAGCTACAATCGTATAACACGATATACTGGTCAATTTTCGATTTGCACGAACCTGGTTGCATGGGAGCCAGACTACTGGAAGCTGTAGGGAATACCTCCAGTGGTCTTCTAATTCTACCAGCTCATTGAAGCACTGGACATGGGCTAAAATTCAAAGCGCGTTATTCTTTCTGAGTGGTTGCAGCCCCGCATGCTAAGGATTGTGGTCCACTCGCATCCGGTGGGATGGTGTTCATCCCCCCCTAGACATGCAGCACGATACACCCGGTAGGGAAAAGAACGAAGAAGAGCTCCGCGATCAATACTTCTCGATATGCAACACCATTACTTGACCACAATGCCAGACCGTCCAAGATACGGCAGAAGTAGAAGGTTCCTGCCGCGAACCTAAGTCGAGTGATGTGGACTCCAGGGATGACATTATTTTGCACGCCAGTGCAGTGTAGGTGTAGTTGCCATCGCAGGATCTACTGAGTACTGCTAACCGTCAGGAGACTGATTCCCGTTGAGACTGTTCTGCTTCATCACACAACGGAATGCGCGGGATGCGTACTTAAGACTCGGTTCTTAATGCCACCTACTCTAGCCAGGTACCGTACGAAATCCCTTTTATGAGGGGCGCAAGGTCCAAGATTAGGCTGAATAGGCGCGAGATGGCAGAACCAGGGAAACGTCGCAGGAGGTGGGTCATCATACAAATTAACGCTTCGGATGCAACATGCGTACCTATGATCCAACTCTTATGACAGGGAGCATTTGCAGCCGGGAGAATGGATTCTTGCGTTGCAGGGTTGAGAACTCAAATACCTCCGACTTATTGTCGTTTATTGAACGCAAGTCGCTCGAATGCAGGTTTGTGGACAACTTGGCCGGCCAGCAGAATGTGAGGGTAGCAATCAAGGGCTACGCACACCTGTTGGTCCAAAACGGGCAGCTCGTGGGTAAGAAATAGCTCAACCTTAATTCCAGGGGCTTGCTTTATCATCACATCTAATCAATCTAAGTGGAGAAGGTGAGGCTCCGGATCACGCTCGGATATGTACCGGAGGTCCTCAGAAGTCACATCGAACAAAGCATCCCCGCACAGCATTCAACAAGCGAGTTTAACATCACCACATCCATCGACCATACCGGAACAGGCATCCTGGCATTTAGTTCTCGGCTATGCTGAGACCACAGCGAATGGCGACCTAAAGGATGCTAGCCATTGCTTGCAGAAGCAATCCACCAAAGCCGAGGGGCTCCGAAATGCCCTCAATTCCAAGAAGGATGCTACCGCTTGACATGGTCCCCGGCTAAGCTTCATATTTTATGCCGATTTCTCTTTTCATTTTCTTCTACTTCTTTTCTCTGGAAACAGGCATTAAAAGCATTTGGCGCGACTCACGAGCCGCTCATCTAGCTCGCACACACTCTCGGACAGCTTCTTGTTAGTCACGACTGATTCCCGGCCACTCACTTATAAATGCATACCCTAATTGAGATAACAAATTTCTAAACCAGCCTGCATTGGATTGAGTCCTCGCCCCCAAATTATCACTGGTGCCTTTTACCACAACCTGAGCCGAATTTTGACTGCTACCGTTTTGGTTCAGTATCTGGAGCACCCCGCAACCCCACGTATCAAAATTAGGAAACTAGAAACCAGGAAATTGGCATACAAATAACCATAAAATGGCACCATTTTACCACTTTTCTGCCTAACCCAAGAGCATTAAACCATGGATGACAAACAAAGAATACTCATCAGATCTTTCTGTTCCGTAATAAGAGTATTCCGGACCTTCCAGAACAGGAGGCTTGGCGGCATAGTTACCTTGCATTCGGGCCAGGAAGTTGGTGTGCCTGACATCCACAGCTGGCTTCACGCACATGCAGCCGTGCGGCTGGTCAACACTACTGACCCTCGGTGCCCCTCTCCGTCTGCATGTCCAATTGTTAGGATCATGCAGGATCTAGGTAGGATAAAGTCGCTTTTTCGTAGCATGGCTGCGCCTAAGTCCGACATCGCCGAGAAGATCCATATGGCATGGACAGCTCCGAGAACGACTCTTCGTTCAGCATGGACGAGTTCAGGTGTTCAAATACGCTTTGGGAGACAGCAAGAGATTCGAGCCATAGCAGTTGTGCCTCATTGTCCTTGTAGTTTTCTGCGACGCTCTCTTGTCTGCTCTTTATCACCACAGTAATACGCATCAAGGCAGGGCTACATGGCGGCAAAACTTCTCTCGGCACTTGCAGCATCGCTGGCTTTGGCCGGCATAGGCCAGAGCACGACTGTGCCAGGCAATGATGCTACTCTCGCTGCGGCAGTGGCCGCTCCAAGCCGGTACATCGTCCTGTTTGAAGAAGGAGCGATCGCCAACTTTCAAAAGAGAGACGGCACAATCGTATGGTGCCCGTACAGACGAGTTGGTAGATGTAAACGCTGACGACTTTTAGGACGTCAGAGGCTTCGCAACGACTGTGTCGTCGCACATCGAGAAGAACACGAAGCCGGCTCTGACCTTCGATTCCAGCCTGTTTCGTGGCGTCTCAGTCGATGTGCATGATGCGAACTCGACTTCAGTTGACCAGATCAAGGCTATTGAGGGCGTTTCTCAGGTCTGGCCCGCGGGCCTGTTCACCATCCCGCCCACTTCAGAAGCTGTGATCTCCAATTCTGACCGGCCCACTTGGTCGCCGCACAACACTACCAGGGTGAACGAAGTCCATCAGAAGGGGCAGAAAGGTGACGGCGTCATCGTCGCCATGATTGACAGTGGTGTTGACTACAATCACCCTGCCCTCGGCGCAGGATTCGGCCCCGGTTTCAAGGTTGAAGGCGGTTATGATCTGGCAGGCGACAATTACAGTCCCGGGGGACCGACCAACCCGGACTCGGATCCGATGGACTGTGCGGGCCATGGCACTCATGTTGCTGGCATCATCGCAAGCCAGAACGAGTACAACCCGGGTGTGGCGCCGAACGCGCGCCTTCGCATGTACAAGGTCTTCGGTTGCGAAGATGGCACCACCGAGGATGTTGTCATTGCTGGCTTCTTGAGAGCCTTTGAAGAAGGAGCTGACGTGATAACTGCCTCTTTAGGGTCGGCGCTTGGTTTCCCCTACATTGCTGCATCGATTGTGGTATCAAAGATTCAGGCCGCGGGCGTGGTTGTCACTGCCGCCGCCGGCAACAGTGGCAGCGCTGGTATGTCTTTCAACTCCAACTCCTGACACCGCAGCCTTAACTGACCACGTTTAGGGCCCTTCTGGACCACCAACCTGGGAAACGGCTTCGGCACCACAACGGTCGGGAGTGTTGAGCAGAGCGACCGTGTTGTGTACACAGTGAAAGCGCGATCAGCCAACGGCACAACTCGCGATATTGTACAGTCCTCTGAATGACAGTACAAGATATTAGCTGCTGGCCAGCCTTTGCAATGTAGGTCTACATGGAACCTACCGGACGTCCATTCGATCTTGTCGGCGATCATAGTGCATTCTTCTACCCGGATGTCCGAACCCGTGATGTTTGCGACTTCTTGACTACGCAGCCAAGAGTTCCCAAAGGCGACGTTTTGGTGCAAAGGTGTGTCTGATCCCGAGGATTTTTCTCAGAGCTCTGCTAACGATTCATTTGACAGACAGGGCGACTGTGATTGGTCAAGAATGGATTTGATCACTTGGGGTCGGGTCGAATGGGTATTCTACTACGGCAAGCAGGGCGAGGGACTACCAGTTCCAAATCGCTTTATTCAAGATGCTGGAGCTCAAGCCAAAGGATGTAAGTGGATATCATGCCGAAACTTCCATGACTGCGAAAGCTGATCGCGACGCGCAGTAGCCGGAATTACCTACGAGGACGGGCAATGGCTGCTGCAACACTCCGACAACAACATCACTGTCACATTCGAGTTTGAAGAGAACCCTAGGCCAGTCTCTCACCGTTGGACCGATGCCAATGGAGTCAGAACGAGTGCTTTCAGCTCCTGGGGTCCAACATTGGATTGCAGGATGAAGCCAGAGATCGCCGCGCCCGGTAAGCAAAAGCCTTTGCAGACATGCTGCTCTTCTCATTCGGATGCTCCTAACACAGTCCCGCAGGCGCAACCATCCTCTCCACGTATCCGCTCAAGCTTGGGAAGTGGGCCACACTTTCGGGAACTAGCATGGCAACTCCCTATGTATGAATCTAAACTTCACAGCAAAATGATTGCATGTACTGACGAAGGTGAAGATTGCCGGCGTTGCGGCTCTTATACTAGGGTCCAAGGGAGGCCGCGCTGGTTGGGGCTCTGATGCCGCACGATTGGTGCACGAAAGGCTCATTGCCAGCGGTCAGCCCGTCTCCATGAGAAATGATAACTCTGCTTACACGTAAGTTCTCGGCCGAAATTGCCACATTTCACCTCTCATACAAGTCCGTATGCTTACACGGCTACAGTCCTGTGGCCAAAATTGGGGCTGGTATTGTTGATGCCGTCAGGGCGGTCGAGTACGACACGTTCGTGTCGCCTGCCAATCTCAACCTCAACGACACCGTGCACTTCAACGGCGTGCACACAATCAAGCTCACGAATAGAGGCCAAGAGGTGGTTACGTACAATGCTACTCACCAGAATCTGAATGGCTTTCAAGCGGTTTCGATCAGCACCAAGTACGTGGACACAAACCCCGACATCGCTGGGTACTTCGCGTCGGTCACCCTGTCAACCGAAAGTGTCACAATCGGACCAGGTGAGACGGTTGAGATAACGGCGTCATTCACGGAACCGGACAACGGCGTCTATGGGCTCATGCCCGTGTACGGTGGAAACATTCATTTCTGGGGCTCCAATGGAGAAGACGTCCGGGTTACATACATGGGTATGAGCTGCAGTCCTGTCAGTCGACGGTTGTTGCTAATCTCTCCTTCTTCTGTGCAGGCATCAAAGGTTCTCTTTACTCTCAGAACTCGTGGCTCTACACCCCGTCATTTTTTCAGAACAAGAACTCGGACAGTCTTAATGGTTTCCCTGACGGGGAAGAGTACTTCATTGGCGAGTGGGAGAAACAGCCGGCAGCTCTTTATACCAACAGCTGGGCCAGTGAGGAGCAGAGTTTCGATGTAAGTCACCAACCTCTCAACATGGACATGTCCGAAATTGGAAGTTCTTGGCTAATTGCGCTCTTGTTATCTAGTATGTGGCCAAGGACTGGACGCCTGAGGACTGGGTTTACCCTCCTTTTCCGGGCAAAAACAAGTGGTTCGGCTCCATGACCAGTTCCGAACGTGTGTTTCTCGCTCTGTTCCAGCCACGAATTCCCACTGGGAGGATGTTTGCTCATGGCTCCATGAACTTCAGCCAGGGAACTACTCTGGTACCCGGTGAATACCGCATCCTGGCCAGGAGTTTGCGGATATATGGTGATCGCTCCAACTTGGATGATTGGCAGACAGCTTTGTCCAATTGGTTCACCCTCAAGGCGCTGCCCCCATCAAACTCCACCACCACCACCACATCTCAGACGGCTACTTCTACTTCAACCACTGCACCTACATCCGCTGCGCCACTCCCGCCTATCGCTGTCTGTGGCGAGTCCGTCCCTATCAACCTCACGGCTCGCATTACTACAGAGACCAGCAGATATGGTCTCATGTTGAGCTCCGACTTTCTGGTCTACGACCGCCGCGGTGACGGTACGCATTTCGAGTGGGCCCTGACCAACGAAGGTTACCTCAAGACTCGCGACATTTCGCGCACTACACCAGTGGACATCTACGCAGCTGTGCATTCCAACAACAACAGCTTGATCTACATGTACACGCCTGGCCAGATATCGGGAGCGTTCTCGTATCTTACTTGCGCACGACAGGGAACCGAGCTACTGTGCACAGCCAACGCGAAGTCTTCTTTCTACGACTGCCAAGATCCCAAAGACAACGAGGCTTACGTTCACATCCGCAGCGGCCCGGAAGTTCGGAGTGGCTGTCGGCAGGTAACTTTCAACTTCGAGGATCTTCCGCAGACCTGTGATACGCTGGCTGCTAGTTCTCCTGCGACAGTTAGCGCAACTCCGACGATGAGCCTCATGATTTGAGAGTGGAATCTTCTTTTTGGGGAGAGGGATTCTGGGATCCATGGGATCGGTGCTTCATCACTTTTTCCCTTCGCGAACACTCATTCGTTATTTTCCACCTCGTGGACAGCCACCGTGGTCACTTTTCGGGAGCATTTCTGTTGCTTATTTGTGACCTGCTGTCATTTGCTTTAGTTTTCTTCCATGTACATATCTACAGACAGATTATACGAGACATGACATAGGTCACGAAGTCACTGCCACCCCCTCGTGTTGTGCTGTGATCCGGGCATAATTTTGTTCAGGCCATTTCAATCCTGAAGTGAAAGACATTTGTGCCTTTCAATACATGCTAGGAGTATGACGATCTGATAGAAGGCATTGAGGAGTGCTTTTGTTAGGTGCTATTGGTGTGTAATATCGGGGTAATCTGTCGCTTCGCACTTCTCAGAGGACCAGAAAATGCGGTAGTTGCCGTCACCAACCGGTCGATTTAGATCAAAGCCACTCAGATGAACTTGGATATTTGCTCGTGTCGCGATGGGACCCCCACTCCCAAGCTTGGTCGGCTTGACTGTTGTCGCTGAACTGCATGGTGACTTTCGGCTTCTTTCATGAGAGAGCCGCCCGACATGATTTTCTGTGATCGGCGCCCCACCAACAGTCTAACAGGAAACCTTATCTTCTGCCAGATCCAGAACTCGTGAGTATGTGCTGATCCCCGGGAGAACCGTTCCGAGACCAACTCAGTGGAGGAAACGGTGATGTGACTAGTTCTCCATGTGCTGTCTCTGAGACCACCCCATCCATGTGCTTGCAGGACTAGGGGAGGCGCTAAGCTATACACCTGATCCCGCTTATACACACTACCCTGGCCCCATGTTGCACGAACCTCCTGCTGAGCTTCTAAGCGTGCCAAGCTAGATCATTAGCATTGAAAATGCTCGAGTCTCGGAGCGAGCGGGACATTTTACGAGATTCTCCGGCCTAGGCGCCTCACACTTGGCGGCCCCAAATGCCGAGACGCCATAACGATGCGTGACCTGACTCCCGAGCGCAAGTAATGATGACATATATATCAACATCAACGATTGAGAGACTTTCGTGATCCATCCTGGCCCTCCAAAGTGTTCCCGGCAGAGGCATCTTGTGATCGACAGTGTGTGCCCGCAGGCGTTAACCTGCTATGCGAAAGCATCAATAAATGAAAAGTTAGAAGGAAAAAGGAGACCTCTCCAAGGCCCATGTCGGCGGCGGAGTTATGGATTTCTGTCTTATAAAATCGTTACATCAGCCTGCAGCATAATTCAAGCATGAAGTTTTTGTTCTGCGATTTGTATCTTGAAGAAGAAGAAGAACGACTCCAGCGCTAGTTACAACGGCTCCGTGCTGAAATGTAGACTTGGATTTCGGTGCGCAGTAGTCAAAAGCGCTTTTGCGCGAAACAGGGGCTGGGGCTTGAGAAGGTGTCCCTAAGGTTCCCCTACCTTATGCAGGCTTTATGTAGCCCGGAACTTTATGTACGCCTCATACTTATAAGACAGGGAATGCCGTGTTAAAACAAACACATATCTGTGGCTTTCTGCAATATTACAGAGTACAGTATTCAGTAATTGAATATTATCATCATACTGCCGATCTGACTTTAAGTCATTGGCATCGGCGTTATCACCAAGTTCACGGAGTCGCTCGTTCCCAGCTTGCATACGTTTATGTTCGACTTTATTCTATTCTCTCTCCGTCAATGACAATCAAGATGGAGCCTCTCGAAGTTCCCTTGGCGCCAGAGGCGACGTTCGTGAGGATGAGAAAGGACTACTCCCGATCTCTGCTTCAATTTGAGCCTTCGCAGCAGCCTACTTGGGGCAGAGCAAGCCGCGGATCCTGGATGCGCTCAATCGGATCACTATCTCTTGTGATGTTCGCGCCGACATTGGTCATCTCCACCACTGTCACTCTTTCTGCATTTCAAGGCTCTCTCTCCGAGTTCCTGAAGGCTGTTCTACAGGACGGATTGATCTCTGTTGTATGGTCAAATTGGCCGCAGTTCAGTCTCAAGGTCACGGGCGTGTTTGCGCTCTGGGTTATGTTCCAAGGCATCCTCTTCCGATATCTTCCAGGGCCAACACACCACGGTCAAAGAAGCCCCGCCGGACATCTGTTGACCTATCGAACTAATGGATTGAATGCTTGGTTCGTTACCCATGCATTTGCCGCTGCGCTTTGCTACTTCGACGTTTTGGATCCTGCCTTTATCCCAAAGAATTGGGGCGGTCTGGTCCTCTCAATGAACGCTGCCGGCCTAGTGCTCTCTGCCCTGGCTTTCATCAAGGCGCATCTGAGGCCAACGCATGCCGATGATCGGAAGTTTAGTGGTGAGGCAACTGCGAAAATATGTTTGAGTGCTCCTATAATGATTAACATTTGCCAGGATCGGTATTATACGACTTGTACATGGGAATAGAGCTCAACCCAAGAATTTGGGGTGATTTCGATCTAAAGTTATTCACCAACGGTAGACCCGGCATCATTGCATGGACGCTCATGTAGGTTTCTACGAAGATTGACCGAAATTCACACACGTATGCTGATTCACTCCTAGTGATTTGTCCAACATCGCGTATCAGTACGAGATCCATGGCTGGATCGACCCTAACATTGTTCTTGTTACCATCCTGCACGCAGTATATGTTCTTGACTTCTTCGTCAATGAGTCCTGGTACCTGCGCACCATCGACATTGCGCATGATCACTTCGGCTTCTACCTAGCTTGGGGATCTTTTGTCTGGCTCCCTAGCATGTACACCATCCAAACCCAGTATCTTGGACTCTACCCAACAGCCACATCAACCATTTACCAGGTCGCTATCTTCTCTATCGGAGTTGCTGGGTACATCATCTTCAGGTCCGTCAACAGCCAAAAGGACCGGGTTCGGCGTTCCAATGGCAGTTGCTCCATCTGGGGGAAGCCAGCAAAGGTCCTTGGTGCATCTTACAAGACCTCGGACGGACAGAGTCATCAGAGCCTTCTCATTTGCAGTGGCTGGTGGGGCTGGTCGCGTCATGCCAACTACTTGGGAGATTTGCTTTTGAGTAGCGCAATGTGTGCTTTGGTGGGATCTGACAAATGCTTGGTATGGTTCTATGCGATGTTCATGACGATCTTGCTGTTGCACCGGTGCACACGCGACGAGGCAAGGTGTTCGGAGAAGTATGGATCGATGTGGGAGGAGTACTGCAAGATTGTTCCGTGGCGAATCTTACCTGGTGTTTGGTGAGGCTTGCGTTCAACTTCAAGCTCGTGCTAATATTGAAACCTAAGGTACATAGAATATAGAAGTGATTGCCACCACATGTGCAAAGCCAATTTATTTCCAAGGATTTCTTCAATGATTATGATTCGGAAGCCAGTGTCTATTGGATGGAGTCGCCATGAACACCCGCCAATAAATCATCCCGGCCGCATGTCTTCGATATTTGACACTAAGATAGACTACCGATTCGCCCAAAAGACAATGAACTTTGTCACTTTGAGCCTCTTCATTTAAGAACAGTAGTCCTCCTCTCAATTGAGTTCAACTACCACAAGGGCTTGATTTTCACATACGTTCTTCAAACCACAGTGCTTCAACCATTAAGACATGGCCTGGAACTCCAGCCAATGCCCGGAGTTGAACTTCTTGTCGACAATTTTGACATGAGTCGGGAGGCAAAGGACTTCATTGAATCTACTCTCTTCATTGACAATCCCATTGGTATAGAACATGGACCGAAAGACCTTATCAGGAGACTCGGATAGGGAGAATAAGAGTTTACTGAAGCGCAGGGTGGAGCCAGGGCCATGGACAGTGTTCGGATGCTGAAGCCATTGATTGCGGAAGGCATGTGGTCACCAAGCAGCCGCAGGAACAGCAGATAAAATGCATGCTGCTCTGTAAACCTTTCCAATCCCTCGAACTAAAACATATCTAATGCCATCCAATCATTGAATGGTTCGGTTCACCTTTAGTCTATTTTGCCTGGCAAGATGAATCGTCGGTGTTTGTGTGTCAATGCTTCCGATTGCGATAGGGCGTACTTGTCACCTAAAATCGAACTGTCCCCGTGAGTTGGTGGAGTCTGCACCGCCGAATAATGAGTCACTGCCCTGAACGCGGTCCCGGAACTTATTTCCAATCGCCGAACTCCCGATTCGAATTAGACCTTACTTCAAACTCTTTTCCCGCTCAAATCTGTCTCGAGTCCAGCGTGTTATTGCTTTGTCGTTATGAGCCTCTCAGCGCGTGCGACGGTGGCCTCAGCGCCCGCCAACGGCTCACTGCTATGGGATGTCCAAGCCGATCTCTGGAACCCGGACAGCAACCCTAAGGGCTACGTGAGTCTGGGCATGGCAGAGAATGTCTTGATGCAAGAAGTCCTCCTCAAGCGCGTTGCGCAGGTTCCTCTCATCCCAACTACGGCCTTCACTTATGGCGACGGCACAACTGGGTCGAAGCGCCTCAAGAACGCCCTCGGGGCGTTCTTGAACAAGCATTTCAACGCCCATCGGAAGTTGGAAGCTTCACACATCACAATCACGAACGGCTGCAGCGCAGCCATCGAGCACCTCGCCTGGGCCTTCGGTAACCAAGATGATTTCTTCCTGGTGGGCAAGCCATTCTTCCGCGCTTTCGTGCCCACGACCGGACTGCGGGTAGCCACAAATCTCATTTCAGTTCCATGCGAGGGTCTTGATCCATTCGGCACTGACGTCGTTCAGAACTACGAGAGAGAAATAGTCCGGGCTCACGGTCGTGGCCAGAAAGTGGCGGGCATCATTCTCTGCAACCCTCACAATCCACTCGGTCGATGCTACACAAGGGATGCAATCATTGGTCTTATGAGACTATGCCAGAAGCATAAACTTCATCTCATAAGCGACGAAGTCTACGGTCTCTCGACGTTCATAAATGATATTGACGGTATTCCACCGCCGACACCATTCACGTCTTGCCTCTCCATCGATACCACGGATATCGTCGATCCGGCCCTCATTCACGTCGTCTGGGGGATTTCAAAAGATTTTGGTTCCAACGGAATCCGTCTCGCTGCCGTTGTTTCCCAGGAGAACCCGGCACTTCATAGGGCCTTGGTTCCCGGTGCACTCTACAGCATGAGCTCATCTTTAGCCGACCACACCTTCTCCAACGTTCTAGAAGATGAGAACTGGGTAGATGATTACTTGGCAGAAAACCGAAGGCTACTTGCTCGCCATCACGGGTTCATAGTGAACTGGGCTCGGTATCACAACATTCCATACGCTCCAGGTGCAAATGCAGCCTTTTTCCTATGGGCAGACCTAGGCAAGGCATACCGTGACCTGAACCCCGAAAAGGTCATTGAAGACCCAGAGAAGGAGATTATGGCAATCATGCTACAGCACAAAGTCTTTGTTGCACCCGGACAGGGTTTCGGAGCGGAAGAGAACGGCTGGTTCAGACTTGTGTTCTCGATCGACCTGAAGACTCTCGCCGAAGGTTTAAGTCGAATCATGACTGCCCTTGAACACAAATAAGAAGGGGTTGATTGTTGTATTCACAGAAGTTCATGCTGGTACGGCAAATGTATCAAATAAAACTGAAAATGTGTCAGCTGTCTGCCAGCAATTGCACGCCAGAGAGGCCCACGACTATCGTCTGACTTTCTTGCCTTCTTCAACCAGAAAACAGGCTCCTTCAGCCAAAGTCGTATCACTTGAGTTACAGGGCCCCGGGATTCTATATGCAAGCGCCCTACATAATTCCGATCTGCCATCAGGAACTTCTACGGAATGAGGCTCGAAAAGGCGTTAAACAGATTGCACTTCGATGGATAAAGACCTTGCTGCGCAACGAGTAAGCCATTGCGATAACGCCGCTCAACAGCACCTTGAGATTAGTTTGTCTGGCCTGGTCTTTCACCGCTGTACATGCGTTCTTAATTCGAATAGAAGAGGTGTCTACCAGGAGACCTGAGGAACTTCTCGACGTCAGGGCCAGTCAGACTGATAGCTTGGCGGGACAGATCTGCGACTCGTTGCACTAGGCAGATGAAGTTTCCGCTGATCCAAAAACTCCCAATGCTTGAAAGGTTCAAGGACGGCATTTCGGAGTACAATGCCCTTCAAACTCAATTGATTGCAATGCACTGTCAAGCCTCGGAATTTGCTACCTTGCCATTATCCTAAATGCGGAAGGTTTCTTGGCCCCGGCCCTCAGAAAGTATTGCGTACGTGATCTCCCCCACGCACTTGAAGTGCCTGTCCAACAGATGACCTTCTTTTCATAAACACCTGTGACCCTCACACCCTACTACAGGAAGGAATTTGGAGGTTGGTTTGTCATGGCTCACACCTTCCTTCAATTGTCTAAAAGCTTGCGTAGTTTACTTTGCAAGGCACTCGCAATCAGACACAATTATAGATCTGATGTCATCGACCGAAGCGCATGTCCAGGAGGATCAAGTCTATATTTAAACCTCAAGGGAAGCCAATCACGTAAGCACGATGTATATCTCAGGTTGTCCGAGATGTAAGTGGTCTCAAGTGAAAGCCAACTGCATGAGTGCGTGGGCGGAGTATTGGCCCGATTCAGCGACCGATGAAACCCAGGACGGCACCTGGTTGCCCTCTGTCTACCAACTGTGGCATCAGGAATGGTGCACGAAAAGACGCAACCAGCGTCTGCTCATATCGTATTGCCGAGCATAATAGGGCTTATTGATCAAAGTTCAAGGTAAGAATACGGGCCCCCCACACCTCTTTCGAACTTCGCACTCTTCAGTGCCATCTCATTGTGCCATTATCCTGACCGTATCGTTGCACAGTCGACCCCTCCGTTACCGCACTATTTTAGCGCTGAAGGTTAAAGCAGCAAATTGTAAGAACGCGTTCTGTTCGTCATGGCTGAGGCGTTCGGAATCGCAGCGAGCGTCATTGCTGTTGTCGACATCACTGCCAAGGTCGGAGGCATATCAATTAAGCTGAAGAAGTTATGGAATGAAGTGAAAAATGTACCTGCAACATTGCTGTTAAAAGCAGACCAGCTCCAAGAGTTCGAGATTTTCCTTAAGGATACTGAAGACCAAATCGCAGCCAGCCCACTACCGGATTCGGCCTGGAACAGCGGGATGCTACAGAAATATGTCGCCAGAGCAAGGTCTATCCTGGACGAGCTTCAAACAATGATTGATGAGTTTCAGAGGCAGCTCGCAGATCCGCGACGGCGAAAGATAACATCAGCGAAGATTATCCTTCGTAAAGATGATATCAGATCACTGGATGCAAAGCTGGATCAGGCTTTGAATTTGTTCCGAATGGCTCAGGGGCAATATATAATGTAAGTCAATAATGCTAATCATCCCGGTCTCCAGTAAACTGACAGTTCAATTTTCTTCAATGAACTAGAGCTATGCTGGCCGCATCACATTCATTCAAACTTGTGCATGAGCCAAAACCATCTCAGAGAGAAGAGGTCGACGCAGCAGCCGGACCTTTCTCGACTCTGGGTTCGGCGTCAGCCATGATTCAGAGGCCAGCCATAGGTTTAACCGTTCCAAGGGAACAAGTCCGGACCTCTTTGCCATGTGTCATGAGCGAACCAGCATTGGAAGAATCCGTTTTGGTCATGGTGCCCGTGCCCAATATCAATTCTCAATACGGACACCGGACTGGTTGGCGGCGTATGTGTATTCCATCCTGGCGTTTAGGAGTACTTTGGGGTGGCAGTTGAATTTAAGGGCTTATGAGGTTGTGGAGAGGTTTCGCGAAGATCTTGTAGATGCCTTCTACAAAGACGACGCCATTTCTGTCAAGAAGATTTTGGTCGGGCAGAAAATGACGCCTTTCGTACGAGATGAACAAGGCAGCACACTGCTGAGGGTAGGCTTCTCCCTTACCCTGGAACATCTTGTATAACTGAAGTCTAACCCTTATAGTTGGCAACCGTTTGCCAGTCGCCGAAAGTGGCAGGCTTCTTGCTAGAGAGTGGTTTAGGAACCTATGCTCTCAATCCCATCGACGAAGAGCTAAGGTCAGTAATCGTTCTCTGTACACGATACGTCTCTGACACTGAAAGTGACCCATGGCTCTATTGTGACCCTGCAAAAGTCGAGCTACAAGGATCTCAAAGTGGTTCGAAAAGTCTTGATATTGTCCGGCTATTTGTCAGCCATGGCCTGAAAGACGATCTTACAAGTGCCGAAGGCGTTGATGCCCTCATGGATCGCTACCATATGCTTGGTGATTTTGCGACTTTGAAGTACCTTATAGGCGATCGCTATCACTCGCTACCTCTCGTCAAAAGACTCTACCATGCTCGGCTTTTAGGCGCAAGTACTTCCTGGTCACTGCAGGAACTCCTTTTTCTGATACCGGAGGCGCAAAGCAACCGCGCTGAACTATTAAGGGCGTCTCGGGTGAACGAAGTTTGCTCTTTTGCCCAAACAATCGCATTTCACATGGCACGAAATATGACACGCCCGCAACTTTACAAGAGGGAGTCTACGATGCAAGGTAACTGGTATGAACTACTAAGTTCCTGCATTGCTCTGGATCCGGAATGTCTAGGCCACCGAGACGGTCTATGGGCTCAAGTACTTCACAATATTGGTGATCAAACACTATTTTCGGTCACGATCAATGGGTTAATCGATTATCATTCAAAGCACCTTGCGTTCGAAAAGGTGCAAAACATTGCCCAATCGCTACAGCCTGCAATCAGTACCTGGGTCGCTCTGCTGTTTTCGAAACACATTAATATTCTTCAATACGGGCGCGAGCAGAAACGTTTGCATGAGCAAGGTCAAATTATTCTGAAACAGAGACTTACTGGACTATCACGATTTCAGGTGAATAATCGTCGATTGTCTCTTGTCGGTGTTACATATGGTTCTCTGCCAAGGCACTGGAAGGTTTGGTGGGCTTGGGAATTCGAAGACTACGCAGGAGAGTTCTGGGACATGATTGAGGGAAGCAAGCTCCACATTCCAGGTAGTTGGGTAGAAGACTTTGAGCTCCCTGAGGATACGGAGCGCCGTGAACGACGGGTTTGGAGGGACGAGGTACCACCTCCATTAATTTGGTCCGAGTACCGCGCGAGTCGACCGCCAGTGTCGTTCGAATCATCGGATGCCAGTTCGCAGGAGAACGTGGTGTTTCAAAGGTAGGAGAAATATTTTTCTTCCGGAATTGGGAATAGACGCATAGTATGGCAAGTTACAATGTTTTGTATACGAGATTTGATGTAACGACGTCTACTTGGTTCACCAATTTCGTGAATCGTAACCACAAGACTTCGACGATCTTTCGATGTCCCATTCTAGCCTTTGAGCTTTACGCGGTACCAGTCTGGACATCTATCTCACCAGACGCAGTGCCTGTGAAGCCAGCGCCACCACTAAAATCGAAATCAAACTCCTTTGCCCCTTTGACGGTAACATTGCTTCCCCAAAGTTCAACAGTCTGCGTCAACGTGACTGTCGCAACAGTGTTGGCTTGACCTAGAGTAATATTCTTAGCCATGGCCATCTCCGCGATCTCTCGTTCTACGCAGGTGATATTACTTACGAACACCGCCAAAGTCGTACGTGAAGCTCTGGTCCGAGCATGACGCAGTCTCGGTCTTAGTCTGGGGGTTGTAGAGGTAGCTGCAGGTCACCTCGATCGGTGCCTCAAGCTCGCTGTTGTGGTACGTCGCATCGACCTTGTATGAGTTGTAGCCGCTAACTGGGTACGTAGCTGAGCCTGTAAAGTCCCAGTAGCCGTAGTCGGCGCGGGGGAGAACTGCAGCAGTAGAGGTGGCCGCGAGGGCGAGGACGGAGGTGATTGCGAAGCGCATATTCACTGTTGTAGAGAGATAGCAAGGTCTCAGACTGCTCTGTTTCATTCGATTCAAACCATGGAAAGATTGGAACTTAAATAATGATATCGACCGTTGTATTGTTGTGACGTTGAATGGAAGTCGTATTCCCCCCACTTTCACAAACAAAGACGCGGAGGCCATGCAATGATCATCATCACCGCAGCGCGCTAATTTCTCACTAACAGGCGCGCAAAGGGCCAACGCAGCGCTACATCGCCTTACTGCTGCACTTACAGGCATCGTCGCAGGGCGAGCGTTCCGGAATACGAAGGATGGACAACCATTTTTACCTCTGCGGGGGCTAGGATGCACCCGATGGCGTGATGGCCCGCCACCCGTCCCCCAGAAGGCCGCCGATGCTGCAAGGTACTGCAACCGTGCAGCGCAACTCTAGTACCAGGGCAAGGTCCGAGATCTGTTAAGCTCTTAGGTGACTGAAATTGATGATTGGAGGGAAAACAAGATGGTCAGTGACGAACAATGTAATGTTGCTTTACAGCGCTGCATAATCGCTAGTGTTACCGACCGACTGTATGCAGGGCGGCTTTGGTTGTTACTATTCAGGTGAAAGCGAAACCGAGGTGCCGCCTTCTCGGCCGACAGGTCGTACAGGCTTGGTTTATCAACCAGCTCATCGGCTGAAGCGGCCTGGTCAGCGTCGTTATGCTAGCAGTAACGTCGCGATTAATTTCCAACCTTAAAGCAGACACGGCAGAAGACTACATCAAAGCAGAGACGCCAGCATTCCACTGCTATTTGGATAGGAGAGACGCCTGCGCTAGGAGATTCGGGGAAACGTTTCTTTGCATCACTCCGTGTGATGAAGTGAGTATTCCATGTAAAAGCTCTCAAATGTGTGATGAGTCCCAGTCAGAATGAGACACAGCCTGAGTACGTCGGCTTTCTTCGAGTTGTTATCGCAATGAATGCCATTTGAAATTGAAACTTTTCATCTTGTGTTGAAACATATAGTGGATGAAATCAAGGCTTTATAGGCCTATTGACTTCAAGGTTCCTAAATGTCTTCTCCTGACTCTGTCTAGACACTATTGCCTTTCAATGAGTAAAGCTGGGAATACTTAATCACAAGGTACCTCCCATTCCAATCGTCCTTGCCCCTCGATGCAAGGCCAGCACACTGTTCTTCGACAATTTCAACATAAACACTTGAGGGGGTTCAGCCATCATCATCTGATCTGCAGAGGGTTTTGATTCATGTCCCTCGCAAAGTATAATGTCTTGCTATTCAACTCACGGAAACTCGTTACGAAAAAGGAATAACATGTCGAAATCCCTTCACTTCAAATCATCACACCGCTGATTTGGTCTTGTGAACTAGCTTCCATCATCCGTACTATCATCTTTTGACAAGCTGCTATGAACCTCAACCAGCTTCTAATTAAAAGCCACTTCGATCATCAACTGACTGACATATATTATTCTGACCGTTCCCGGTGCGTTGAAACATAAATACTCGAGTTCAAGTCTCGGTCATTGGCTGAAGAGTTTGGTGTTAAGAGACACAACCACATCCATAGATTGGATGGATTTGACTACCATGACTGTGAAAGAAAAGGTTCAAAACCACCAACTTCACTTAGCTAACACTTCTTTGCACGTTGTAAACCTCAACGCAAGTGAACCCATACGGAGTTTTCATGCCTATTGTCTTACAAACATCCAGTGCCTGGGATTGATGTTTCATCCAAGTCGCTTGCGTCTCTAATGCTCGCTGGATGAAAGATACAGAAAGTACAAAGACGTCAAAAAGAGGGGTCTCTTCGCAGAGCAGGTGTACAAGATGTTTTCCGCTTGGCTATAAGATATGAATTCATCAGATTTTCCGAGGGTTTATTTTGCTTTTCATGAGTACGATGTGCTTTCACGTGCGCGCGGGGAATTCATCATCAGCTCCGCCCATCGCCATCGTCGTGGCGTGTTCTCAGCATAGGAACGATACAAAACAACTGACAACGCGCTTCCATCATCGATTTCAACTGGTTCATTCTTGCATTTGTTCAACAGTGTCTTGAATTACCAAGATAATGCCAAACGTCTGAAGAAGGCCCATGTCTCATAAGGCAGAACACCTTGGAATCTGATCCATCTGATGTCTAGGTACTTCAAGCAGTCCAGAGAATGTATTCATCTGCGTAGCGAGACGACAGTGATCGACAGCTTCAGCCACGACCCAGATTCCCTTTGGCTTAGATACCTTGCTTAATGATTTCCGCGGCCTGTGATGGGGGAAATGATGTTAGCACGCGATACTCATCGATGAAAGGGCAATCCAGGCATCAACTCACCTTCTCGGCCAGGGCATAAGTGGGCTGGCAAGTGTTGGCACTGGGAACCATGGGCATGACACTGGCGTCAACGACTCTGAGGTTCTTGACTCCGTAAACGCGAAGGGTCTGGTCGACGACACCGCCCAACTCCAGCGGCAGCATAGACGAAGTGCCCACGGGGTGGTAGTCGGTAGGCGACAGAGCACCGGCGATGTAGGCCTTGAGGTCCTCGTCGGAAGTGACATCCGGGCCAGGGGCGTACTCGACAGGCTCGTACTCGGTGGCCAGCGAGGTCTCGAAGTTGTAGCGGCGGAGGAACTTGATCGCCTCGACGAAGAAGTCGGCCTCGACGGGGTTGCTGAGGGCGCGGTAGTCGATCACGGGCTCGGTGTTCCACGGGTCGGTCGTGTTGATGTTGATGGTGCCGCGGCTGAAAGACTGCATCGCGACGGGGCCCTGGGAGCCGTGGTCAGGGACGAGCTGCATGCGGGTGAAGGCGGTGTTCTTGGAGCGCATCTGGGCGGCCAGGATCTTCATCTGCGCCGCGAAACCCGCGACGACGGTGGAGTCGGCATCGGCAGGGAGCAGGCTAGCGAAGTCTTGTTGTTCCAACTTGGTGGCGAGCTCGTCGGCCTTTCCAGACACGACGGTGAAGGGGAGCCAGCCGGCCAGGTTGGTGAATGTGAGAGAGTAGGGGCCTGTGCAACGCAAAGCGTTGGATGTCAGTCTCGGAATAACACGCTTGGTATGTTGAATTGGACATTACT